TCATTGTACCACTGCAAGTACGCTTTGGCGAACACTTCCTCCATGATGGCCTTTCAGAAACATAACCCAAACTAGATCCATCTCATTCTCTCCAACCAGAATCTGAATCTTAAACATGCTTTCCAATACTTGAAGGCAAAGGGGGCTTCTATGAAAGTATAATTTTATCAGAGTTACAAAGAATTCTGAAATTCACCTGGTTGCAGTTTTCTTGAGGTTCAGCTTTTGGATTTCTTGTCTGATTTTTTTTTTTTTTTAAGATCAGTGTATTTGAAAGACAGCAGCAGAGAGAGAATAACGCAACCCCCTGACTCATTTCCCAAATACCCTCAGCAGCGAACGGTTGGACCAGGGCCAAAATACTAGGAACTCCATCCTAGAGGTCCAATGGGACTTGGGCCATCTTTTGATGCCTTCCCAGGCATATCAGCAAGGACCTGCATCAGAAGCAGAGCAGCCATGTTGCAAAACAGCTCTCTGACGTGGGATCCCAATATCACAAGTGTTGGCCTACCCACAAGCACCACAGCACTGAGCTTCTCCTTCAATATTTTCACTTGCCTAATATTCCATCAGCATGATCAATTTTTGCTACTGACAACAAAGAAACCAGACCTAGTCTTGAAAATGATGCTGAGAATGGAGATCCTCAAAAAAAAAAATTTATGGGTGTTTAGAATTGGTCACTGGGGTTAATAGGTTTTCAACAACATTCTGTCTGGAAGAGCTTTTCCACTAAATTTGGGGCTCTGGCAAATAAGCGATTCTTGCCACTCACCAATTTAAAAGAATTTAGAATGTGGGACAACTAGGCATGATTATTTTTCCTTTTGTGTAGAATAAGATCAAATCCCAAAATGTCACCATTGTGATGTTCCAGACCTCTTTGTGACTTTGCTGAAAGAGCAACAGCCTCTTTCTAGAACTGTTGAATTAAGGACCCACAAAAGCAAACCTAGAAACTGATTTTACGAGTTGAATTTACAATCATTTTAAGGCTATCCTAAGAAAGACTTTTGGAAAAAGAGAAAGAGGATTGATTAGATTATACCCATCCTTTCCAGCATTTCCTCATCACATCTTTAATATAAAATTTGGTTTTAGTAATTAAAAAAATAGATTGGTAAGGGGAATCTTCTTTAATGCTTTTATACAATGCAATACCTGAATATATGTGGATCTTTATTCTGTACTCCATTTGAATTGCTATACTACCTTAATTTGCTAATTTAATAGGTTATAAAATTGAAAGATATTTTCCCAGGGCAGGTGCCGTGCCATGCTGGTTAAGCCCCTGTCTACAGCACTGGTATCTCACTATGGTGCTGATTCTGATCCAGCTCCTCACTACTGTACCTGGGGAAGCAGCTAGAGGATAGCCTGAGACCTTGTGTCCCTCACACGCATGGGAGACCCAGAAGAAGCTCCTGGCTCCTGGCTTTGGACCTGCCCAGCGGCAGCCATTGTGGCTGTTTGAAGAGTGAACCAGCCAATGGAAGACCTCTCTGTCTCTCCTTTTTTCTCTGGAACGCTGCCTTTTAACTAAGTAAATGATCTCATTTAAAATATGTTTTAAGTAAGATTTATTGATTTATTTATTTTTGAGAGGTAAGGTTACAGAGAGAGAGAGATTGAGAGAGAGAGAGAGAGAGAGAGAGAATAAGATCTTCCATCCATGGTTAACTTTTCAAATGGCTACAATGACAGCTATGCTGATCCAAAGCCAGGAGCTTCTTCCAGGTTTCTCATGTGCTGCTTTCCCAGCCCACAAAGCAGGGAGCTAGATAGGAGATGGAAGAAAAGAAAAGAGAGAGAAAGGAAGAAAGAAAAGGAAAAATTGTAGGTAAAAAGATATAATCCAAACATTTCCCTATCAGGGGGCCTTCTGGCACTCTGCCTTGCCAGTGAGAGGCGTTGTTAGGCTACCTCTCAGTATTGGTATGCGTGTACTGCTTTTGTTTGAATGTGTCTTTTCCACAAGCCAGTGGCTTCCAGTGTGATAACATTAAGGGAGAGGGCTTTACGATGCAGGTAAGCAAGAAGGCTTTTCTGCTCTTGAGGAGGGCTGTGTCCTTTCAAAGAGGCTTTACGAAGCATTACAACTTCAGTCTTCCATCTGCTCTGCCATGCACACATACAGCCCTGCTCCCCTCCAGAGGATGCACTAGTTCAAGGTGTCGATTTTGAAGCAAATGTCAGACTTCCTCATCAGATCACAGAACCTTCTGGCACCTTGACCTTGGACATTCCAGGCTTCCAAATTATGACAAAATAAGTGTCTGCTCTTCAGGGATTATCCAGCCTCCAATATGTTGCTGTTGCAGAACAAATGGACACAAACATGAGAGAGAAGTGTGCATGCATGTGCACGAGCTTAGCAGTCAATGGGAAGCTTAAAACGAATACTGGGTTGCTCTCTCCTTGTGGTTGTTCAAGATAGACGTGATGCCTTCCCCATGGTGATCTGCCCTCACTCCTGGGCTGTGGTTCCCACTTCCAAGTCCTGAATTACGCTTCATATCTACCCAAGGGCATCTAACTTTGCTTCCTTGTGGAAACTTCAGACTATAGGAAAATGATTTTATGTGTATTTTTATTGTTTTAAAGTCAAATTATTTTTATTTTATTTGAAAGAGAGAGAGAGAGTATGCCATTGCCTGGTTCACTTTTCCAAATGCCTGCAGCAGCCACGGTTGGACCGGGTTGAAGTCAGGAGCCTAGAACTTAACCCAGGTCTCCCACATGGGTGGCGGGAATCAAAGTACCTGAGTTATCACTGTGGCCCGCCAGGATGCAGGAAGTCAGCACTTCACCCAGGCACCCGGACGTGGTCATCACAGCACCTACCAGATACTTGCCCTGATCTTCTTATAAACATGTACATACATATACACCTAGAGAAAACAGGGCAGGGTAGACAACAACAAGGTTTACAGAGTGTTTGCATTCAAAGGCATACCTCTCTGAAGCCTTACCACACGCTCAGGGTATCAGAATGCTTGAGGTCCTTGGAATCTGGTGGAGACCGCAAGCATTTGAAACAAAGAAGTTTTATGTGCAAATGGGTATAATAGGTTTGTTCAAAGTGTCAAGAATGTGGGATGACGGTTAGGTCATGCCAAAGTCAATTGCTTAGTCTTACATTTTTCTATTTCTACACACCTCTGACATAAGAGATGGCCAGTAGGAAATCTGACATACACATAACTCAAAAGACTCATTAGCAATAAGTCAACAACCATCTCTCTCTCTCTCTCTCTCTCTCTCTCTCACACACACACACACACACACACACACACACACACTCACAGTATAGATTTACAAACAATGGCCCCATCCATGTTGCCTGAAATTTCCACTAACAGCAGTTAGTCATGGTAATTATAGAAGTATTACAGAAACCTTGATTCTCTTTCAAACTCAGGGCATTTGAAAACTAAATGAATCCCAAATCTTACACTTGTTCCAGCCTTCCAAATTCAACTAGAATTAATTCAATGAATTGAACAGGAATATTTGCTGAGCCTTGACACCTTGTGTTAAAGTATGGTACAAGATTGACTCATCCCAGGAGAAAGAAGCATAAATGGTATTTTTAGAATCACATGTTGAATGGCATTAAGTTCTACGACTACACTTTAAAGAATTTTTTTTCTTTACAAGACACTAAGATCTTGCAAAAGATGCATTCAATTATCCCAGTCTGTTTCAACCTCCGGGTTACCAAAATAGCATGCGTATTTTCTGGATTAGTCCTGATTTCAAAATACTGAATTTTGTACCATTGCCAGGACACGAGTTCTAATTGTAACTCAGCTCCTGATCCACGAGGTCTGTCTAGCACAGCCCGTCTGGCATCTCTCCTTGGAAGAGAATTTACGCACAACGTCAGTGGGTAACCTATTATCTGACGGCCCCTTAGACCACCAGGTAGATAGGAGCGAATCCGGTTTGTCTTTAAAAAGCCTTCCCGGGGCGAACACCCCGCGCCAGCAACAGAGCGCGCCCCGGCACCACGTGTCTGCAGCAGCGGTGGGATTGGCCGAGAGCTCTTTGGAGCCGCGGTGTAGACGCGCGCGGGCCCGCCCAGCTGCCAGAGGAGCCGGGCTGCGGAGGGAAGAGGCCGACGGAGACCGCGGAGGGGAGGGGGCGGGAGGGGGGTGGGGGATCCCGCGACGCCGGCGGCCTGCGATCTGGGAGGACCAGTCTCGCCACAACCTGCCCGGAGTTGGAGACACGCTGCGTCCCGCGCCCTGGAAGAAACAGGCTGCCCGCCTCTCCCGGCTCTGCTCCTCGCTCCTCGGCCTCCGCTGTCTGTAGCAGCACCTTTAGGATCCGGGTTTCCCTGCGTCGCCCCCGTCCGCCTGCAGCGCTCGGCATCTGTCCTGGAGCGCGCAGCTGGGGTGAGCCGGGGGCAGGGATGCACCAGGAGACCGCGGGAGCCGCGCGGCAGGACCGACATCTCGCTGCCGGCGAAGATAGGCCGGCTTCCCGCCTCTCCTGGCTCCGAACCGAGCCGCTTCAGACCCCGATGGCGTGGCTACCGCCGCTGCTCCTCCATCCCGGCTTATCAAGGCCCCCATCGTGGCTCGCGTCCTTCGGCCTTTGTCTTTGCGGGTTTGGCTGGGCCCGCAATGTCGGGCGCTGGGATTGGAGGCTCCCGCGCGTGATTGGGGTCCCTGCGGAGAGAACGCCAAAAGAGGGGCCCCCCTTTTCTTGTCTCGGCCATCTTGTGACCGAGATTTGATCAAGGGGACGAGGGTGGGCAGTACGCGTGAGTCCCCAGGCTGGAGTGCTGGCGGCTAACCGAGAGCGGCCCCTCGGGCCTGCGCGCCTTTTGCCGGGCCGCGCAGGCCGCCCCCACATTCAGCTCCGAGCATTGGTTAAGCCCTGCAACAGTCCAGTGCAAGGAAAAATAGAAGGGATGAGGGGGCCTGCATTTCCTTAACCAAAGACCCGGATCCCTGCGCTCCCCGTGTACTTTCATGTCCGTTGGGGATATGGTGAACGGCTTCTTCTGCCCATCCCGTGCTAGGTGCTGGGGGAACGTATCGGTGAGCAGGAGTGTCGTGGCCCTTGTTCCTGCTGACCCTGCAGATCAGTGGATGGAGCCCAGAGCCTGCAGACCTGCCAGGTTGGTATCCCTTGATGCCATGTGGAAACCAAGGCCCAGGGTTGACATTCTCGCTCTAGGGCAGCCATCAGGAAAACACAGGAATCAACCCGAGAATCTGTCCCCGAGGAGGGGTGTTTCTAGGACTTTTAATGCCAGGCTGCAGCGAATCGTTCACAGTTCCATTTTCAGGGCCATTAACCACTCTTTAGATGTGCGAGCTTCTACGCGCCATGCATGCCTCATTTATGGATGCTTTGGGCTGGGTTTATTTCTGGTTCGCCGGTATCTAAAACGTGGGAGCCGCGATTTGCTGTTACAGCTTTACTTGCAGTTACTCTGAAAGGTATATTCCTCTCTTTTGTTCACCTATTTGGTTGTTAGGAAGGAAAAACATTTCCCTGATGGTTGGTCCAAGCAGGGTCTCCCCGGTGGACTGAGAGATGTCCGGCTTCTCTTCTTCCACTCACCGACTTCGGTGGTGACAGCGGGCAGCTGCCAGAAGGCACCTCGGGTCTTGCACGCAGCTGCTAGAAACCGCTAAGCGCCCTCCGGAAAGCAATGCAGACCCCTCGCAAGTTGATCAGGTAAATACCAAGACCTGAACAGGTGAGGGAAGCTCCTCCTCTGCCAATTTGCAACATTGTGAAATATGAACCCTTTCGGAAAAGTTAAATCCTTATGCATCCTGGGGGGACAATACCAGTGTCAACACGTGGAACACTTCTCGTCGCTCCAAGGGGACCGGTGTGTGTCCACTCGGCCGCGTCCACTGTGTCTTTTCTGGTCCCGCAGGGCGCCCGGCGCATGCTGAGCTGCGCAGGCGGATGCGCCCTTTGCTCGGGTCGGGGCTTGGGCGTTGCCATAGTAACGCCCTGGACGCCCAGACCTTAGGCCGCCGCCACCGCCGCCGCATAGGACCTGGCCTTCTGCTCTCGAGGGCTGTGGTGGTGGCGGCGGCCCAGGCCGGATAGAGAGGACACCAGTCCGCTTCTCCGACTGCAAAGGCGGCAGATTGGCTGGCGAACATGGTAAGAAGCGTAACGGGATCCTGGGGTGGGAGGTGAGCGCCTGGCAGTCGGGGCTCCATGGGACCCCAGCTTCCCTCCCAGCGTGCCATCTCCTCCTTCTGCAGCCCTTCCAGAAGCACGTGTACTACCCGCTGGCTGGTGGCCCTGAGGGGCCCGATGCCTCCACGCTCGGCGCGGGAGGTGCGGCCACAGCATCCATGACTTGCTTCCCTCCTGGCGTGGCAGCGATGGCGTCGGGCCCCCCGCAGCCCTTCTTCCAGTTCAGGCCGCGCCTGGAGAGCGTGGACTGGCGGCGGCTGAGCGCCATCGACGTGGACAAGGTGGCCGGGGCGGTGGACGTGCTGACGCTGCAGGAGAACATCATGAACATCACCTTCTGCAAGCTGGAGGATGAGAAGTGCCCGCACTGCCAGTCCGGGGTGGACCCGGTGCTGCTGAAGCTCATCCGCCTGGCGCAGCTGACCATTGAGTACCTGCTACACTCGCAGGAGTTCCTCACCTCGCAGCTGCGCTCCCTGGAGGAGCGGCTGCGCCTGAGCCTCAACGAGGGAGAGCAGAGCCGCAAGCTGCTGCATAAACAGGCTGGCGAGATCAAGCTGCTGAAGGAGGAGTGTAAGCGCCGGAAGAAGATGATCTCCACGCAGCAGCTCATGATCGAGGCCAAGACCAGCTACTTTCAGGTGAGAAGTGGCCCTGAGGACGCCGCTCTGGAAGCTCCCCAAAGCCCCACGCCTCCTCCTTCCAGAGCTGTTATGCTCATCAGAAGAAACGGCTTATGGTGAAGCGGAAAAAAAAATCGCCATCTGATGGTCTAGTTCATTGCATTCTGCAGTGACCAGAGCGTTAATAATTAAACAGCTAGTGTCATCTGTAGTGTTTTGTGGAGGTCACCGAAATGCTGCCTGTTGGGCCCTTCCTCCTACCATGCCGTGACAAACCAAAGGATGGCGGAGGCCAGTCCCCAGGCGCAGTGGGATGATCCAACTGTTAGGAGTTTCTTATTGTTGGAAATTAGGGGTCCATTGAAAGGGACAGAAAAGTGGTCGTGATAGTGCCAAGAACTTTGAGACACATTTCACCCACATTCACCAATTATTAACACTTGCCAGGTTGGCTGAGCTCCCAGCAAGCTGTGTACCCAGTGTGAGGGCTTCTAAGCCACTTTGCAATGAGCTGTGCACTCCTAAACATGTCCGTGTGTGTACTTCCTCAGAACAAGAATGTTTAATTACATTGACATTTACAGAATGAAACGGATTTGTTTTTCTCCTCTTAGTTTCCAGCTGGTATTGGTTAGACATTGAACCCAAGACAAATAGAGTAGTGTTTTAGTATAACAGAAATCAATATACTTCTTGTTAATCAATTAGTTGGAGGAAGTGCCAAAGATGCAAACAGTGTTTGCTAATGATATTGGAACTGGGGCTAGTGCCATGGCTCAATAGGCTGATCCTCCACCTGTAGGCGCCAACATCCCATGTGGGCACTGGTTCTAGTCTTGGCAGCTCTACTTCCGATCTAGCTCTCTGATTATGGCCCAGGAAAGCAGTGGATCATGGCTCAGGTCCTTGGGTACCTGCATCCATGTAAGAGACTCAGATGAAGTTCCTGGCTCCTAGATTTGGATCAGATCAGCTCCAGCCACTGTGACCATTTGGGGAGTGAACTAGCCAGTGAAAGACCTCCCTCTGTCCTGTCTCTCTTCTTTGCAAATCAGCCTTTCCAGGAAAAAATTAAAAAATCTTACAAAAAAAAAAGTAAGCAACAGAGTGAGAAGATGAATTTTACACTGTTTCTAGTCATTTTGGATGAAGGTGGTTACAAAGGCTTCAAAGGACTAAAATGTTCTCAAACTAGTGAGCACGCAGGAAAGAATATTCTGAAAGAGGCTAGTGTTTGACTTCGAGTGACAGCCATGAAGTATAACCTTCACATAATACTTGACATGGTTAACAGCTCTTTTGTAAATGTCATTTGAAAATTAAATATAGGTAATGCTATGATGGCTTTTTTCCTTTTAGATTTATTTTGTTTATTTGAAACTAAATAGAGATGGACACAGAGCAGTCTTCAGTGTGCAGGTTCACTCTTGGAATGGTTTCAGTGGCCAGGACTGGACCAGGATGCAGCCAGGAGCTTCTGGGTGTCCCACGTGGGTACAGGGGCCCAAGCACTAGGGCCATGTTCCAATGTTTTCTCCAAGCACAGTAGCAGGGAACTGGCTTGGAAGTGGAGCAGCCAGGACTCCTATGTGATGCCAGCACTGTGATGTAGCAGCTAAAGCTGCTGCCTACAGTGTTGGCCTGATGACTTTTTCTTTTGTTACATGGTAAATAGAATAGATTCTCTAGAAATATACTACAATTTGCTGTGCTCCAGTTTTGGTAGTCATCCCATGAAACATCAATGGAGCTTCTATATAAAAACCCTGTTTGTTTAGAACCATCTTTTCATTTAATTTCCATGGGGTGGGCAACCTATTGGTTAACAAAGACTTTGAAAGGTGAGTGATACAGAAGGATAAAAGGTAAAGGACTGATTTTGCCAAACAAGTGATACCTGCCGACCCCTGGCAACTCTGATGACACTGAATGACCTGTTGACTATGGTGTGACATGAAGAGGTGGGAGTGGCCAGACCACCTTGTCCTTCCTGTATGTACAGATGCTCTCTGTCCTCTGTTAGGTTTGCCCCTGTTGCTTTATCAGACTTTGAGGCCTGGGATTGCTTCAAGGTGATACTTGGCAGATCCGATCACCAGGGTGTGAATCCAACTATTCCAGTGTAAACAGTCATTGAACTTTAAAACCTTGGTTTCCTCATCTGGAAGATGGAGTCATTAGTGGTGGTTACCTTTTAGGGTGATGCTAAGACCTCCATGAGGAAATGCAGAAGAGATTGCGGGATCTCTTGCCAGGCGTGCGGGGAGAGTCGTTGTCTCAGGCACCCAAAGTCTACTTGTAGCTGTGCAGGAAGATACTTGTTAGAGACACTCATTCGAGAATTGCTACTCTCTTTGCAGTGCCATTTTTGTGACAAGGCCTTTATGAACCAAGCTTTTCTACAAAGTCACATCCAACGCCGCCACCCTGAAGACTCTCACTTTGGTAAGTAATAGCTCTATATTGTACATGCTTCCTTCTAGCTTTCTTTTTCAATTTCTAGTGAGGCATGGTTCAGTGTGTTTCTCAGTCCTTTTAAGTGGCATGGTCCTGCCAAGGCAGTACTGAATCCCTGCTGTGTGCAGGCAGTATTGTAAGGGCTGTGGATGCAGCTAATTGCAAGCTCAGTAGAGAGGGCCCGCTCTCACCATTTTGCAACCTGTGCATGGGGCCAAGGAGTTCACTATTACAAGGACAACGTCTTTTCAAGTGGTGGCAAAGGCGATGAACATGGGAAAGCAGAATGAGGAGGAGTGACTTCATGTGATCAGTGAAGCATCTATTAGAGGTTAGAATCGGAGCAGATCTGGCTTGGTGAAGATTTGGGCAGTGTCCCAGGCACCTGGAAGCCCAATTGTAAGGGAGTGAGGAGAGCTGGGATGAAGTGTTTGAGTAATAGGAAGGAGACTGGCGGAGTAGAGTGAGCAGGCAAGGTGGTCTGTGATGATGCTGGAAAGGAGGGACTGGGCCACAGAAGGACCTGGGCTGCAATGTTTTAATGAGCATGGTGGGAAAATGCTGAGGGGTTTGAATGAGGAGAATGTGATCTAACTTATACCTGAAAAAAAGTCCCATTTGCTGTGCTGCTCAGAGCCAGCAGTGGAAGCAGGTGGAGAAGTGGTGAGGCTGACCCAGCAGCCTCAGTGAGAGACTATGATAGACTGGACCAGAAAGCTCCCTGCGCAAGGGGAGATGAATATGCAAAGCACATATTTTGGGGGTAAGGCCTATGGAAATGTGACTCAGCATGAGAATAACAGGCAAGGCAGAGGCCATCCTGGGCTGCTGACCTCCTTGGTGGGGGAAGGACAGTTCTGCTGCCTGGGATACTGGGTGGAAGGGGTGGGAACTGATTTGCAGCAGGAAGGAGAATCGAGAACTTATGTCGACCATGGGCACATTACATCACACACATAATGGATATGAATGTGGGGGATGCTGTAGGTCACAGCTCAAGGGAGATCCTCAAACTGGAGAGAGGAATCTTGGAGGCAATGTGGGAGTGCTGGGCTGGCCAACCTCACCCTGATAGACCATTGTTGTCCAGACTGTTGTTGGGGATAGCAACCTGACTTGAGTGGGCTGAGAATCCTGAGGAAGTAATTGCCATCGAATACAGACACTGCTTCCAATAGCACTGGGGTCGGGGAGTGACATGAGAAGCATCACTTGATCAGAGGGATGCTGAGATGTGTCTGGGTGTTTCTGGAAGAGAAGATGACAGAGAGCCAAGATTCTGTGTCACACCAACGCAGCAGACTTCCTGCCATGTGGATGTTCTCAAAAGCAAAGAACGAAGACATCATTCCCTGTGGGCAGATCAAAACTCTGTGGGTTGCCATAGTAATGATCATCTTGATTTCTAGTCTCTAGTTGGTGTCCAGTCCCTGAGCCACCCCCCAACCCACCTCCATTTTCAGCCAGCTGTGTTTCTATTCCTGCCTGTTCTAGATAAATCCTTTCAGTTAGGAAATAGCTAGGCTTTATAGATACAATAAGTATTTAAAATTTCACTTAAAAGCTATGGACTACTGATACAGTTTAGCAGTAGATTGGAAAAAATAGAAGGGTGCACTATTTTGATGATTCTATCATTCTTCAGTATGAGACTGACCTTCTTTCTCTTCTGTTTCAGTATCTTATTCTTTCTCATACTTGTTTCAGAGGGCATTTCAGACTCTGAAATGAGTATTATTTCTTCAGGTCATCTTTGAGATTCTGACTTTCTACTTTGGTTTCCATACCTTTCATGTCTACACTCACAGCCACATGTATAGCCATTCAATCATGTGTACATCTTCATGTAAGTACAGGTTCCTAAGTACTCTCCCTCACTTGTCTCTACCTTTTACAACTTTTCAGAAAGCCTCACTTCTGCCCCTGATGACAGAGTAAAGCCCCCGGTTTTGCATTTGGAATGTGAGCCCTTTGCTTGTTTGACACTGAAGGAATCATCAGGAGTTTGGTGGGAGCCCAAAGGATGCTGAGTTAGAAACTTTTATGTGGTAGCACTTGCAGTGGAAGCCATTGTTTCCAAGGAGACAGGCATCTCTAAAAAGAGTCCAGATTGCCATTGGGTCCTAGCAGCCAGGATTATGTGTTGCCATCATTGTAGCTTCCTGCACAGGGCTCCATACAGTGGATGAAACAATCTGCTGAAAATAACTCATGGCCCAGTAATGTCCAAGGTTCCAGATAAGAACTACAGAGCACAAGTGGGCTCACAGGGGGTAAACCAGTAGTGATCTCCCAGGGACGAGCACTTCCTCCGACTTACCCTTAGGACTGCATCCCGCAAGTGTTCAGATGGTTTCTGTGATCTTGTTTTGACAAGCCTTTCTGTTGGCACAGAGTATAAGACAAAAGCCCAGACCGATAAGCTGCAGGGTGAGATCGACATGTTGAAGGAGCAGCTGCAGCTCACCAAGTCGCAGTTGGAGGCCGCCCAGCACGCCCACGCCGTCAGGTTCTCTAAGGTAGGACACAAAACCGAACAATAGTCTTGTAATGGCAATGAATGCCACGTCATTCACGTGTGCCACAGACTTCATAAACAGGGTACATAGGCTTTTCTAGAACTCAATAAAATGTGGTTGCATTTGGTACAGCCAATCTAACTTTTCATTATCTTACTACAAAGCATGTTCCTGGAAATGGAACTCGAGGCTTAAAGCAAGTCATGTACATTGTCTTACACTGTATTCCTGTGGGTCACACGTCTGACATGAGTCTCACTGGGTAAAATGAAGGTGTCAGCCGGGCCGTGGTCCTCACTAGAGAGACCAGTTGCTGCCTATTTGGGTTGCCAGTGGAGCTGAGCTCCTTGGTGTTGCAGGAGTGAGGTGTGTGCTTTCCTGCTGGCTGGCTGCCGAGGGCTCCTGCTACTGTCCCGCAGAGGCTGCTGCGGCTCCTTGGCTCACTGGCCTCCTCCTCCACATTCAAAGCCACCAACAGTGGGTCAGGTCTCTTTCGTGCAAAAGCTGTCTTTCCCATCTCATATCTGTGACCATTTCCCAAACAGTTGAGGGCTTAGAAGGCCTGATTCAAAGTTACTTAGGGGTGATGAAGGGGCTCCAGGAGGAAAGAAGGCCATAGTGTCTTAGTTCTTACGACTACGGATGTCAAGTCCGCCTTCACTGATCCAACAGAGAATTGACTTCACAGAAAGAGGAAGGCCCTTGGAGAGCATTTCTCTTCTTGTTGCTATTAAATGACAAGTATTAGTGTGTTTGGCTTTCTCTTGTTTCCTGCTAGGGATGGAAAATTTGACTTTCTAGGGGAAATGGCAAGTCATTTCTCAGAAGAAGTGACGAAGCTCTGTTGTCTCCCGTATGGTCTCTCTCTCTCCCAAATATCAAAAAATGCATACGAATCACAATTGGCCAACTTAATCATTGGAAAGTGTATAGTTCAGTACTGTTAAGTGTAAAATAGTTCCTCCTTAACCATGGAGAGCACTTTAAAACAAATTCATTTTATTTTTGATGATGTTGACATAGTTTAGAGGGATACGTGCCCATGTGGACCACCAGTTAGGGTAGGGAGGGTCAAAGAATAGGGGAAAGTGGATGAAACAATTATTGCCTCCAATCTCCTTTTTTCTCCTGGTGTCAGGGAACAGTGGAGAGAGAAGGAGAGAGGGCCACTCCCAACAACCCAACCGCATCAGTACCCAGGAATGGGGGAAGGCCACCCGATGTCATCCCAGGGACCCACATCTGTCAGTGGGTCTCCAATGTGGAACATGTTCTAGGATACTGCTCAAGTGGTTTTGATAGTTCTGAGATGCTGTTGATTTCATTGTTCCAAGGTTGAGGCAATCCTTCCAAGGTTCATTGGCTGACACAGTCCACCTTAGAGTCTTGATTTGCCCAGATACTTCTCTAGGAGTTGTCCAATGTGTTCTGCCCTCTATGATACTAGATGTCCTCTGCAGGCCTCAATGAACTGCTTGTCATGTCCCCCATGGGCGTGAGCATGCCCACCACACAGGCCTCAGCAACTGTGGAGACCTAGTTCTGACACAATCACTCTATAGTCAGACCACTTATCCTGTATTTTTACCGTGGTTGGAGTTCTAAGTCTAGTGATCCAGTTGGGGGAGTATCCCCAAAGCAACCTCGCCAGAGGTGACCCTAATATGACTACTGTGTGTGCCAGCCAATGTGAGGTCTGTCCTACTTCATCGCTCACATCAGCCTACACACATCCTGGTTGTTGCAGTCATCTGATTAATTCTGTCCCCACCCCATCTCATACACAAGCCAATGGATGCTGTGGCCCAGCCTAACCCTGCCCACCACACACTCTGCCCTCACATACACACCAGTGGGAACTGCAGCTTAGAGCGACCCCCAATAACCTCCACTGGGCCCACCCCCAGCTCTGGTTCCTGTACATGCTGGTATATGCAGCTGATTGGTCAAGTGTATCCCACATCCCATTCAGCTCTCTTACATGTTAATGGGTGTTGGAGTCTACCTCAACCTCAGCTGACCCCACTATCCAGTCCACACTCATGCCTGTGGGTACCACCACCTATCCAGCTGTGCCTGCCCCCACCCTGGCTCTCATGCTCACCAGTGGGAATTGCAGCCCATCAAAGAGGTGCCCACAGTTTCCCTACTGGGCCCACTCCCAGCCTCAGATCTTGTACTTTCCAGGTGGACCTACGGTCTGGTCTGACAGGACTTGCCCCCATTCCCAGCACTTGTCAGCTGATGCTGCAGCAAAGCTCAACCAGCTTGCACTTAGTCTGGCTCATGCATGCACCTGTAGATATATGGTTGCTTAGCCCCACTTGGCTATCCCCCTAACCCAGCTCACATGAAGGCCAATGGGCTTTGCAGCCCTGCCCAGCTTTGTCTGCCCCCAGTCCCAGTCCTCATACTTACCTGGTCTTTCATGCGCTGGTAGGAACTGTGGCCCAGACTGACATGACCTGCCTCACCTCAGCATCCACCAGCAGGTGCTGCAGCCCAGCTTGGCCCAGTTCCCGCTTATGCTGGTTAGTGCTGCAACCTAGCCTAGCCCAGCCAGTCCCCAGTCCCAGCCCTAATGCAAACTGGTTGGCATTGCCAGCCCATCCTGTACCTCATCCTGGTTCTCACATCTGTCAGTAGGTGTGAACTGGCTCAGCCTAGCCTGGCCAATATGTATGGTGGCTCATACTGTAACTTGGCTTGGACAGGGCATCTCCCATCCTTGGTTCTTGCACTCACCTTCAGGGTCTGTATCCTGACAGAGGAGTTCCCTAAGCTCCTCTATCAGGTCACCTCATGGAGAATACTTTCCAAGACCTTGGGGAATGCCTAAAACTAGAAATAGGATCCGACTGTTTCTCTATACAGTCAAATTTACAGTAAAGTCCAACTTACAAATAAAGGACAGTAAGAGGCTAACAACAATAATAAAAACAGGACAATTATAAATAAGGAATACAATTTCTTGCATCACTACTTTTGCACTTGGGGGTCATTATGCTATCCCATGTTAGTCAGTCTGAGAACCAAAATGACTAACAGGGGAATAGCATATACAACCTGGATATGTTGGACAAAGATTTGTGTCTAGGCAGAATGGAGCAGAACAGCACAAGTTTTCATTGTGCTACTCAGAATGATGCACAGTTTTAAACCTATGAATTATTTATTATAAATCATTTAATTCTTTCAGACTTCAGGTAACTGAAACTGCAGGAAGTAAAACTGTAAGTAAAGAGGGACTACTATGTTTAGGTTGTTGTGCAACCAATTTCTAGAATTTTTGTGATTGCAAAACTAAAGCTTGGTCCTCGTTAAACAACTCTCCACTCAACCTCTAATATAGTCTTTATATATTCCAGTGGGTTTCATAGTTTTAAGCTCTTATATTTAGATTATCGACACACTTAGAGCTAGTTTTTGTCTATGGTGTACTGTGTCGTGTTAAAGGCCTCCCTGTCTATGATTCTTTTACTAGCAGTATGCATCATGTGAAGGTGTTGAATGTTTGCCTCATCTTTGTGTCCATGGAGGCAATCATGGTTTTTCATTTCTTTCTATTACTGATTGTTTTTTTTTTTTATGTTAAAGCACCCTTGCTCTTTTAGGGTAAAACACTTTTGTTGAGGCAACACAACCCTCTTCCTGTGCTGCTGTGTTTACTTTCCTAGCATTTTGTTAGGGATTTTTATAAAGCTTCCTGGGTTGTGGTTTTTTCTTTTCTTGTAGCATCTGTGGGCCTTTGGTGTCAAGGTATTGCACACCTGATGGAATGTGTTGGCATATACTTCCCTTTCTTCTACTTTGTGGGGAAGTTTGAGTAGGATTGGTCTTAATTTTTCTTTAAATATTTGGTGGAATTTCCTAGTGAAACCATCTGGTCCTGGTCCTGGGCTTTGTTGGGAGATTTTTGATGATTAATTCACTTTTTTCACATTGAAAGCCCATTGACACTTTTTTTTTTCTCTTGAGACACTCTAGGTAATTTTGTGTTTTTGTAAGGATTTGAATATTTTACTTAGGTTATTTAACTTGATATAGTTGATCGTTGTTTTCTTGTATTTTTTTTTTAAATATAAGAGTTATTTTATTTACTTGAAAGGCAGAGAAAGAGAGAGAGAGAAGCCTTCCGTCTGCTGGTTCCCTGCCCACATGGCAACAACAGCCAGAGCTAGGTCATGTCAAAGGCAGGAGGCAGGAGTTTCTTCTGAGTCTCCTATGTGGTACAAGGGTCCAAGCGCTGGAGTCCTCTCATGCTTTTCCAGGTGCATTATCGGGGAGCTGGGTTGGAAATGAAACAGCCAGGATGCTAGAACTGCAGGCAGAGGCTTAATGCTCTATGCCACCACAATGGCCTCATTGTCTTCTTGTTTTAACATTCTCACGTATTGTCTGCACTCACATAGCTAAGCCAGGCAGGCTGAAGGCTCCTCAGTTTTGTTGATCTTTTGGAAGAGCCAGTTTGGCTTCATTGAGTTTCTCCATTGCTTTTCCATTCTCTCCTAGTAGTCATTATTACTTTCCTTCTGGCTGTGGATTCTGTCTGGTCTTCTTTGGTAGTTTCTGAAGAGATAGAATTAGATTGTTGGTCTGAGAACTTTCTTTTTTTAAGTATAGTTTCTACAAGCAGGAGTTTGCACACAGTCACTACTTTGGCTGCATCCTACAGGCTTAGGTATGTTTTGTTTTCATTTGCATTCATCTGAAAGTGCTTCCTAATTTCCCTGGTGAGGTTTTCTTGGACCCAGGGATTTAGAGTGTGGATATTTTTGGGCATTTGATGATTTTTCAGATTACTTCTATTAATTGTTTCTGGTTTCCTTTTTTTTTTTTCTATTGTGATCAGAGAATGATTCTCGTGATTTCAACTTTTGAAATTGGAGGAACATTTTATGGCCTAACGTATGGTCTCTCCTGGTGAAGATTCCACAGGCCTTGAAGAACACGTGTCCTGCCGTTGTTGGGATGCAGGATTTTTTAAAATGTCTGTCAGGTCCGGTCAATTTATAATGTTCAAACTCCCATTTAAGTTGAAAAAAAAAATGCAAGCTCTTGGAGGTCTTCAAGAAATCAAGCCCTGATTAATTATTTAAACGTTGAATGAAATTCCTCCCAATCTGAATTTGTTCTTAATGAGATAGGGGATGGTGCTTCTTAACCTAAATTGATAGACCATCAAGAAAGACTCTTGAGCCCCATGGGAGTTTCTTTAGAGTATGCTTATGTCTTCCTTATTTCCATGCGTGTCCGCTGGGCAAGTCCACACAGCGTGGAAGCTGCTGGCCGTGGACCTGTGTGGGTATTTTAGAGGACGTCAGGATGTGCTCTGTGCGACTGGAAATATCTTTGTGTCGTCGAGTGTTTCTACCCGAAGGGGCAGTACTGGCCCCTATGGAATGGAGAAATGCCCAGTGATTTTAAATTGCTCATATTTGCTTCCCATCCAAACCCTGAAGCCATGTTTTAAAATAACTTCAGGAATATGAAATGCAGAAAACAAAAGAAGAAGACTTCCTGAGGCTGTTTGACCGATGGAAAGAAGAAGAAAAGGAGAAACTAGTTGGTGAAATGGAAAAGGTCAAGGAGATGTTTATGAAGGAGTTTAAAGAATTAACTTCCAAGAATTCAGCACTAGAATATGTAAGTATTAAGCCTTGCGGGTTCTTGCGCTTTGGGTTGCTTCGAAACGAGCCATTTGGGTGATTCTGGCCGGAGGGCTGTACTGTGCCCACGTGGGATATCACTCTCCCCGGGAAACTCGGGGGGTTGCTTGAGGCCTACGGAAGACAGGAGTTGAACCTTTGACACAGGAAGCTTTGGCTCTGCTCCCCGGTAGAGAATACTTACGGGGTGCATTTGATAAGACCACAGAGGAGGGTCCCTCATTCCATATCTGCTTGGGCTCAGATAGCATGTTTTGGAACTCTCCTCTGTCATGATTGGAAAGGGTGGCATAGAAAACATTGCTCCGAAACCACCCATCTCCGCTGGGGAATTCTGAGCTCACTGGGTGAGCGCCTTTGGCCCCTTATCCTCTGGGCAAAGTGGTGAGGGAGCTGAGGGGAGATCCTCTAGCTCCCTCTAGGGGCCAAAACGTTTTATACACAAGACTAGAGCAATGTGTTCTGGAATCCCACGTGGAGCCCTCTGAACTCTGTCGTAAGGGCCAACCCATGGGACGAATATTACTCATCAGCTGCTTTTTTCTTTTATGAGCTGGAAGCTTAAGTGTTTTTTAATTTTAAAGGGTGAGGAAAAATCAAAAGACTTTTGTGACAATATGAAGATTACGTGAAGTTTGCATGCTCTCTGTAGTGAACTGTCATTGGAACACAGGCACGCACAGCTGTCTGCGCCCAGGCTGTGGAGCTTTCTTGCTGGAGCAATAGAGTTGAAAGTTTTTAACTGAGGCCTTTGTGTGTCTCCCAGTTACTCTCTGGCCCTTCTGGAAGTTTGCTGTTGTCAATACACCCTTCTAAAGCACATGGGGCAAGATAGTAACCATCTTGGAAGTGGGTGTTTCCTGTGCTGTTCTTTCAGCCTCTTCAAAGCCTGTAACTTCCTGATAAAAGCTGAAGAGAAATTTCTCTGTGCGGTTCTCAGCATGGGCCTCCTGGAGTGGTGAGGAGGGGATTCCTGTCACCTCCGGGGTCTCTGTGCTGGAACCCCCAGGCGCTGATGTCTCTTTGTGGTTTTGATCCTTCCTTCCTTCTAAACATTTATTTATTTTTATTGGAAACTCAGATTTACAGAGAGAAGGAGAGACAGAAAGAAAGATCCTCCACCTGCTGGTTCACTCCTCAAGTAGCTGCAGTGGTTGATTTTGAACCAATTTGAAGCCAGAAGCCAGGAGCCAGGAGCAGCTTCTTCGGTCTCCCGTGTGGGTCTCAAGGCTTTCAGCCATCCTCCACTGCTTTCCCAGGCCACAAGCAGGGAGCTGGATGGGAAGTGGAGTGGCTGGGACACGAATCAGTGCCTGTATGGGATCCTGGTGCATACAAGGCGAGGACTCCAGCCACGCAGATACTGCACCTGACCGCTCTGTGTGGTTCCTTGGGCCATTTCTGCTCTGGGGTCCTTTCCCGGCTCACCTGTGATTCCTTCCTCAGGCGGGACATGGCAGAGCCCATAGAAACAGGTGTTACCACCCCCACCAACAGCACCTCCCCTTCTGAAGACCACACCCATCTCTCCCACAGTGCCCTCCTGCCTGTGACAGTTCTTTAGCCTGGGAGCCCCGATCCCCCCAGACCCCTGCCTCCTGCTCCCGAACAATCAGAGGCGAGCTTCCCCCCCCAGCTGTTCACCCGGGGGCTTTTCTTTTCAAAGCTGTATTAAGATGTAATTCATGACTCATACAAATCAATGGGCTTTAGGACATTCACAGAGTCAAGACGCCATCACCCCAGTCCTTGATAACAGTGTTGCCATCAGTCCCCGCCCTCCTCCCTGACTCTGACGGCTGCTGATCTTTTCTTTTTCGAAGGAGTTACCTGTTCTGGATATTGCACATGAGTTTTCTCAGTGGCTCCTTTCATGTCACATAGTGGTTTTAAGATGCACCAAATTGTAGCCTGTATCAGACCTTCATTCATTCTTGCTGAATGAGGCTCTGTTGCATTGGATCTTCTTTGTCCACGTACCAGGTGACAAGCATTTGATTTATTTGCCCCTTTTGTCTATATGGTTGTAACGACTTAACAGAGAGTATTCATTTGCACAGTGGTTCCGTCACTGTGTGGGATACTCACATCCCATCTTGGGATGTCCAGTTCGAGTCCTGGCTGCTCCCCTCCCCATCCCACTTCCTGCTGTTGTACACCATGGGAGTTAACAGTTGATGGCTCATGTGCATGGGTCCCTGCCACCCATGTGCAAAATCTGGATTGAATTCTGGGTTTAGCCTGGGCCAGCCCTGGCTGTTGTAGGCAGATGGGAGAGTGAACCAGCAGATGGACGATCTCTCTCTGTTTGTCTCCTTGCCTGCATGCTTATCTGTCTCTCTCTGAGTTTCAACTAATATGTAAATAAGTAACTTCTAAAAAATGAACTATAGATTTTACTGTTTACGACAGTCTTAGATTTACAGAAGAACTGAGCAGATGGCATAGAAAGATCTTCATGAGCCCTGCATAGTTTCCACTAATACTGACTTAGCACTCTGGCACTTTGGTTGCACTAGTGAAATACTAGATGAGTAGATAATATTCTCTTCTGATTTCTCATGTCCCTACCTAGCATCCTTTTTTTTCTGCCCCAAGTCTCCATCCAGCATGGGGCGTTCTATGCAGCTTCATGTCTCCTTAACATACCTCTTGTCTGAGGCAAGGTTTCAGATTTGGTTTTGATGATCTTGATCATTTTGAGAAGTACCGTTCCAGGTATATGACAGGATCCCTGTTGGAGGGAGGGGAGTAATCTAATATTTCCCCATGATTAGACTGAGCTCATAGGGTTGTGTTTTTTTAAATAGGTTTTTGGGGGAAGAAATACAGTGACACTTCCATTACATTGTGTAAGGTGGCACACAATGTGTTTTATGACTGTTGATTTGGCTTTCATTCCCTGGCTGGGGAACATTGTCAGTAGCAAGTTCCTCTGCTGAAAAGATACCTTCCCCCAATGCTGTGCTGTTTGAAATGAAGCCACTTGGGGAAGCCACAGTTAATGAGTCGGGAAGCTTGCGACCCATCCTTTGGTCTGGAAGTGAGCTTTTTACCTGCAGTGGTGCGCTGAAACTCTTATGCTGCAAGTAACTTTGAGAACAGCATAAAACCAAAGGGTAAAATTAAAATGTTGTCCTGGGTATTAGACTTATTTTTCTTACTACAGAGAAATACCTGAGGCCAGTACCTATAAAGGGAAAGTTTATGTAGCACAGAATATTCCTGATTCAAGTCCAAGATCAGCTTGGTATCTGGTGAGTGTGGAGCTTGTGCAGGGCAAGGATCCCATTGAGGAGCCAGGAGGCAGAGCTGGTGCCCGGGCCCAAACTCAGACCTTTATGGCAGCCCTCTGGTGAGAACTCCAGAGGGCACCAGAGGACTGCCTTCGAGGGCACACTCCCAATGACCTGAGTCCCTCCCTGCTTAAGTCCCATACAAAGAGGACACTAAGATGTCAGGGCTTAGACTCCTGGGTGAGTTTGGGAGCTACATCCTTCTCTGCCCATAGTATACCCCTAATCGATGTCCTCTCGGGGTCCTGGGACTGTCCTGGCCTCCATCTAATTGCTCAGTTCCCCAGTTTCTGGCAGCTGTTGCATCTTTATCACTTTTTAAGATCTATTATTTCAGATTAGAAAGTTTGATTTTCCTTTCCACTTTGCACCCTGTAAATGTTCTGACGGGAAGACCAGAAGTGGGAGAAATGGGCTATGCTTCCTGTGGGAAGACGGGGAGGGAGGAGCTGGAAGAATGTCCGGAAGGACAGTCTGATTTCAAACAAGGCTGTGTCCTCCTGGTTTCGGTCGATATTTTGGTCCTACCAAGAGAGAGCATCTGTACCGGTGATTTCTGATCCTGTTTGACAGCAACTGTCAGAAATCCAAAAGTCCAACCTGCAGATCAAGTCCAACATCGGCACGCTGAGAGACGCACACGAGTTGAAAGACGGCCGCTCTCCGCACTCTCGGGATCTGCAACACGTGATGCAGCTGCTGGACAGCCAGGTGCGTGAGAAGTCGTGGGGACTGCCCGCAGTGTCCCCAGGGCTCTCGGGAGGCAGCCCCCGCAGCGCACGCGAAGGGGGTGCGTTCGTTTCTTCTTGTTTCCTAAAAGCTGCTGGATTTATACTAGCTCTTCGTTAAACGCTTGCTCTTGATGAACAGATATCACTACAGCAAGACAGTCGGTACATGGTTGTCCTGTTTTCCTAACAATGTCCATCGAAATGGATGCTTTTGTTTGTTTTTCCATGTTTCTGACATAGCTGTCGCTCTCCAAGGGCGTGGAAAGGTGCGATGAAGCACTGGGTTTGTTCTTGGAGATTGCATGCACGACACGGGAGCAAACTGACGCTCTTGCATGTTTATCAGACGCAGCTGCGACCTCCGGAAGTGAGGCTCTGTGCTTAGCTCAGGTTTTGTCGTGGTGGTTTAGAGGGATTTAAACAGCAACAACAACCATGAAACAGATGTCAGATGAGTTTGCGAATTCAGGTTTTGAAGGAAAATCCAGTGCTCACTCACCGTGTCAGAAGAGATGCTTTCTTTCTGTTTGAGACATGGGCTTAACTTCTCTGCCACTCGTGTCTTGCCTCCCAGCTCCACTGCAGCCAGGTCAGTTTGTGTCCAGTCTTTAAAAACCTTCCTGTAACTTCCTCGGTCCCCCAAGCTTTTACAGGAGGAAGACCTGAGCCCTTGGCCAGCAGCTGAGATCCTTTGGGGCCAGGGCCCTGCACCTTACCCCCTGTTTCCTGTTTTCCCTCAGGCTCCAGCAGTCCCATAGCTCATATTCCCATTCCTGCTTTGGCTCTTGCTGCTTTCCTACCTGTCGTGCATTTCCCAGCCTTCAGCACCTGTCTCTTACCCCTTCTCCCATCCTGTTGGCCCTCTGTGTTCATGGGCCGCGCATCCGTCACCTCTGTACTGGACACATGCAGACCCGTGTTTCTTCTGAATTAAACAACCATTTACTTGCCTTTGGTTTGCATTGGGGAGTATAGATTATCCAGAGATTTCGACTTAGAGTATACAGGAGGGTCAGTCAGTGTAGGTCCTAGGCTGTGCCAATGCAGCTTTATGTGAGGACCTGAGTGTCCTCGGGATTCAGTGTCCCAGTGCTTACTCGAATCAGTCCCCTGTGAATACTAACAGGGTGACCATTTCCAGCTGGAGTGGTACGTCTTCCAGAAAGTTCCCCGGCTTGGGACCTGAGCATAGACACATGAGAAGGCAGCTCTGTTGTCCACTTTCCCCCTGGGCAGAGCAGCGAGCATTGCCTTCCCATCTCTCTCCATTGGCCTGGGGCTGCCCAGCCTGGTGTCCAGTCTGTGGGACTGGGAATCATTGTTTCCAGCAGAACTGCTGGCTCTTGCTTCCAGCCTGCCTCCCATGAATGGAAGGACATGGTTTTGAAATGCAAAGGTCCTGTCTGCATTTCCCGTGTTCCATCCCTGTGAGCTGCGTCCAGTGATGTTCCTTTCTGGCCCCTTACATGGGCAAATGTTTTCTGTTGTTGTAAATACTATTTTATCAGAACACAGCTGGCCCAGTCATTTATAGTGTATCTGCAGCTGTTCTCTCACAATTAATACTTGTGATGAATTTTGGCCTCAGAATCTAAGATAATTATTAATAGTTTAGTAGAGAATCTTTGTTGAACACCTACCTTACTGTGTAAGGTTAAAACAAATAGCATGTAAGTTTAACTATTTCCAGCTATATCTGTTTTTTAAAATAACAGCTAAAATTTTGCCAGCTAGGTAGCTAGATTTCCCACCAAAAAGGAGGCTCCTGTTGTAAGAGATTCCGTTGTAACAGCTGCACATAAATTATTTATTTCACTCTTTATAGGAAAGCAAGTGGAAAGCTCAGGTGCAAGCCCTTCATGAAGAACACAAGAAGGGAAAGAACCAGGTAAGCTCACACACTAATGGCCATGCAGGGCGTTTTCTTTACAAGGAATGGTATCTGTCCACTTAAAAACATGTGGAGCAATGTGTAACAGAAGTAAAACTACTTGTAATTCCAATACCAAGATGTTCACTGCTACTGTTTCATTATAATTTCTAGTGGTGTTCTGTCTATGTTATCAGGAATATTGCATTTCTGTGTGTTTAGAAATCAGTCTCTACATAGAGTATGAAACTTGGATTTTACTTTAGAGTTTTATGTCCTTTTCATTTTATACATATAACTACTTTGCAATATAAAACTAAATCTTAACAGGGAGAGAGAAAGATCTTCCATCTGCTGATTTACTCTCCAAATGGCTACAACAGTCAGGGCTGGGCTGGGAGCGTCTTCTAGGTCTCACAAGTGGATGACTAAGGCCCAAGCAATTGGAACGTCTTGCACTGCTTTTCCTAGGTTATTAGCAAGGGGCTAGATTTGAAGTGGAGCTGCTGAGACACAAACCAATGTTCCCATGAGATGCTGATATCCCAGGCAGTGGTTTAACCTTATATTCTTTTTTTTTAAACCTTATATTCTTATGAATGTGTTATTTTAATCATTTTTTTATTGTGGCACTATGGTTCAGTGGCTTAATCCTTGTCTTGCACACTCAAAATTCCATGTGGGTGCAGTTCATTTCCTGGCTGCTGCATTTTCCATCCCGCTCCCTGCCTGTGTCTTGGGAAAACAGTATAGGATGGCCCAAAGCCTGTACCCATGTGGAAAACCCGAAAGAATCTCCTGGCTTCTGATCAACTTAGCCCTGGCCATTGAGGCCGCTTGAAGCAGCAGATGGAGGATCCTGTCTGTAAATCTGCCTTTCCAATCTGTTTTTTAAAAATAATAATAAAATAAAATAAATAAAAATAATAAAGTAAAATAATAAATCTTAAAAAAAAACAGATCTTAAAAAATGTATGTTTCTATGTTTGTCTTTTACAGAGATGCAGTATAAGTAATTTTAAAATAAATACTACTACATGGTTTAATCACTTCAACAAACAAAATTTAATTATGACACTTCCTTTCGCCAGAAATTTAACTGTTATAATGTCTTTAGGGGACAGGCATTTGGCCTAGTGGTTAAGCTGCCATTCCAGTTGGGCCACCCAGGTCTCAAATAGGAGTGCCCAGACATGAGTGCTGGCTTCTCTGCTAATTCCACTGTCCTTTTAAGGTGTACTCTGGAGTCAGCAGTTGTTGGGTCAAGTGCCTGGGTCCCAGCCACCTGCATGGGAGACCCATGTGAAATTTCCGGCTCCCAGCTTTGCCCTGGCCCAATTGTGCCTGTTGCTGCAACTTGGATAGTGAACCAGCTTTTCTGTCTTTCTGCCTTTTAAATGAATACATTTCAAACTGTATCATTGCTAGGAGAGGAAATTGGAACCACAGTTTTTCCTCTATTGCACTCAGAATGTCATTGAGTCATGGACATGATGTGTAGAGTTTATGAACAAATGCATAGCAGTTTAAAAAGCCTTGGGAATCCTATCATTTTTGGGGTAGTGATTCCACTCAGGAGATATTTAGTGAGTGTGCTTCATGTGATGGAGCTGAAAAGAGAGAATGACCACAGGTTGCTTGTGTCCAACAAGGTGGAGAAGGGAGGATGCTGACTGACGGGGTCAGAGCGCTGGGAACCGAGCAGAGTTTGTTCTGGCTGGGGCAAGGCTTTGTGTAACAGGTCTGAATGGAAGTGCCTGCTTCACTTCTGCATATGGCAAGTGGCTTCCAAGCCCACTCAGGTGCAATTTCTTCCATGTCTCACATAGCTTTGAGTATATTTCCATTCTCTGCACCCTTAGCTGAGTCCCTTCGCCATTGCTGAAAGAACCGCCTAATTGGTCTCTCCAAGTGCCTCCCTTCTCCTTTTATGTGAGAGACAAAGATAGAGAGAGAGAGAAGAGGGAGAAAAATCGATCCCATTGGGTGACTAACTTTGTCAGTCTCTCTGACGCCTACCGACCTGTCTTCCCTTCCTTATTTATTTAAGTGAGACAGAGACAGAATGAATGAGAGCTCCCATTTGGTTGTTCACTCCGCCACATGCCTGCAGTGGCTGTGACTGGGCTGGCCAATCAATCCCGGTTTTGCAAGTGGGTGACAGGACCCTGGTCAGTTACAGCATGACTGCTGTCTCCTGGGAGAGCCAGGCACTTGGAGGGGGAATATGGGCATCTTGGCCACTGAGCTGAGAGCCTCCCTCAATCTTGCTGCTTCTTCATCTGCCCTGCAGAGAGTGGGCAACAAAACCTGGTTTTTGGCCACCAACTGCAGCTCATCCTGTCTGCTCTGCCCGAACCTGCTCTTTCTAACTACAATGGTCTTCTGGCAGTTTCTGGGACATTCTTAGAACATTCCGGCCCCTTTGTTTTCTCTTTTACTTGGTCTTTACCTGTCTGGTAGCAGTTTTTCCTTCTGTGTAGTGAATTGCTACAACTCGGTGGCTTACAGTGTTGTAATTATTATCACAACAGTTTCACCCACAAGGTGTGTTCATGGCATTGGCTGGCACTGTCTCCTCAAGTGCAGCGCCTAATGGCTAACTCTGAGGTGGAGACCGTGGCTCCCAGAGGCCACTTCCCTGTCTCAGTGGCTGGGTGGGCTTTTTCCAGGCCAGCTACAAAGTGTCTCCTGCTTTCATTCTCCCCTTTAAGAAAGGCTTAGACTTTCTTTGAAAGGACTTGGCCGAATAAAACATACCCAGCCTTGTCATCTGCCTTCTCGTCAACTCACAGCGGGCAGGTGTGGGGCTGTGTCTGCAGATACCCCTCGTCTTTGCTACAGCCCACCCTGCATATGCACAGAGGCATCGGTGCCACACAGCACAAGGCTGGGGAATATGTAGGGTGCGTGCGCTAGGGGCTATACCCTTGAAGGTCATCTTAGAGTTCTGCCCACCACCAAGTAAGCAGCCCCTTTTGTCACTTCCCAAGTGCAGCTCTGGTTCCTGTCGGACAAGGCCTTCTCTGCTTCCCTGTTGTCATTTATGCCCTGTCTCACCAGATTGTTAGCCCTGTGAGCGAAGGGCTCTAACTTTCCACTCTCTTGCCATCATCCACCAGCATGCCAAAAATATGGTGCTTTAAGATGCTTGCTGAATGAATGTGAAAGCTAGCTAGCCAGGTAACCTGGGGAATCTCTCAGACTACTCTTTCATAGATGATGAAAACAGAGGAGGTGTCTCTAGGCCTGGGCCTACTTTGCGCTAGGTTCTCATGGATGCACATAGTGCTTGCTTGTGACAATCCTTTCCTGTAGCTAGCAGGCTGGCAGTCATCTCCCTATGCAGCAGGTTTTACCTATGGCAGCCAGGAAGTGCGATCCCAGGAGCATTGTGTGGATGGTGTCTCCTCATAGATCTATTCCGCAAGAAATATTCCCTGTTGTTCCTCTCTTTTACATGGAAAATTCGCCCCTTGTTGCCTTGTACAGCTGTGCCAGAATTGGCTTCTGAGTATTTACAGATTTACATATTTCTTGTCAATGAATCAGGATATTAGTCAGTCTTTCTTCCTTCCTTCCTTCCCTTTCTTCCTTCCTTCCCTTCCTTCCCTCCCTCCTTCCTTCCCTTCATTCCCGCCTTTCTGCCTTTCCTTGCCGTGCTTTGCCTTACTTCTCTTTGCCTTTCCTCCCTTCTTTCTTTCTTTTTCTTTTTTTCAATTTTATTTTATTTTTATTGGAAAGCCATATATACAGAGAGGAGGAGAGACAGAGAGCAAGATCTTCCTTCCGATGAGTCACTCCCCAAGGGAGGGCAACGGCCAGTACAGCGCCGATCCGAAGCCAGGAACCAGGAACCTCCTCCGAGTCTCCCATGCAGGTGCAGGGTCCCAAGGCTTTGGCTTGTCCTCTGCTGCTTTCCCAGGCCACAAGCAGGGAGCTGGAAGGGAAGTGGGGCTGCCGAGTTATGAACCAGTGCCCATACAGGATCTTGGTGCCTGCAAGGTGAGGACTTTAGCTGCTAGGCTACCGCATGGGGCCCCCTTCCTTCCTTTTTAAAGTTGGCTTATCAGCACACTACTGGGTTCTTGGGAGCAGTTCGAAATAAACTGATATTGGAGTTTACCATGTATTTAATCCTACTCTGAATTCTGAGGGGTAGATACTGCTGCCCCTTTTATTTATTAGGAAACAGAGGCTTTGCAAGATAAGGTCTTGGGGTCGACACTGTGTCATAGCTAGTATAGCTGCTGCTATGGTGCTGGCATCCCATATGAGTGCTGGCTGGAGTCCTAGGGCCCTTGCACCCACGTGGGAAATCCAAAGAGGCTCCTGGCTCCTGACTTCAGACTGGCCAAACTCCAGCCATTGCAGCCATTTGGGAAATGGAATATTCTTTCTCTAACTCTGCCTTCCAAATAAATGAATAAATCTCAAAAAAAAAAAAAAAGTGGGCCCGGCGCGGTGGCGCAAGTGGTTAAAGGTCCTCGCCTTGCACGCCCGGGATCCCATATGGGCGCCGGTTCTAATCCCGGCAGCCCCGCTTCCCTTCCAGCTCCCTGCCTGTGGCCTGGGAAAGCAGTCGAGGACGGCCCAAAGCTTTGGGACCCTGCACCCGCGTGGGAGACCCGGAAGAGGCTCCTGGCTTCGGATCGGCATAGTATCGGCCCGTTGTGCTCACTTGGGGAGTGAATCATTGGACGGAAGATCTTCCTCTCTGTCTCTCCTCTCTGTATATCCGCCTTTCCAATGAAAAAATAATAAAAAATAAATCTTTAAAAAAAAAAAGTGCTAGCTTGTTCCACAAACACTGCTGTTTAATCTTGGGCACACTGTTATGCTTCGGGGACTTAGCTGGTAGAGGGGAGGGGAGTGGGGGAAGCACAGGGTGCTTGCTCTTCTGTAGGGAGAAAGCTCTCCTTTGAGATGCTCTAAGGGAACTCCCAGAGGTTCACAGAATATAGAACAAAAAGAAAATGGCTGCAAAACTATTTTGAAACAGCGTACATTTTTTGCAACATTTTCCATGAACATTTTGAAGATCCCGTATAGTATCCCCAATGAGGGATGCACTCAGACTTAGCTGTAGCTTCTTTACAAAGGGCACGTGCCCAATGCCACCCCCTAGACCTGCTGCAGTAGATGAGTCTAAGACATGCACAGAGTTGGAAAGAAACCACAACGACACCTATTCTGACTTGGATTCATGGTTTGATCCACTGCTCTTAGTCTTCAAAGTTCCTACTCTTCCTTCCTCAAGGCATCTGTCTAGCATTGTGAGATTGAATTCAGGCTGAGTAATAGGGAGTAGGTTGTAGATTCTTATTACATTGAAGACCTGCTGCGATCCAGGCCCTGGTGCTGAGTTCAGGGGTCCCGTGGCTGGATTAGAGCAGGAGTTTCAGGTTGTACATGTTGTCATTGCAAGCAGAGGTGCTCTTGCACGGAGGAGGCAGTGAGGGCCTGCCTGCGTACTGAGAGGTGTGTCGCCTCAGGTACTGGGATTGTGCATGGCCACCAGGCTGCACTGTTCGCCCATCTGCTGGCCTGGCCTGCTTCGAAGCTGTGCACATCTCTCTTTTTCTCCTAGAGCCTAACAGAAGGGTGAATTCAATCAGGTTTAGTAATCTCTGCCCAAGACCTAACTATTAATTATTCCACATGATTGGTGCCTACTGTGCCCACAATGCACATATTGTATTTCTCTGTTTGGGGGAAGTTTGCATTTGCCAACTTTTGATTGCCTTAACCTGGATACTTGGCAGTCTTTTTTTTTTTTAATAGCATTGGTAGGAGTTCAAAGGGAGTCACGGGCTAGCGGTGGGTGTACTCCTATGACCTAGCCCAAGATGCTGGAGAGCTGGGGAGGTGCAGAACGGCCACCCAGTGACAGGAAAGGAATGAGGGTTCACGTGGTGGACAGGTGGAGGAAGACATGGAGAACATGACAGATCACAAAATACAGGCTCCCAGGCTGCGAACTTTTTGAAATAATTTCTGGGCTTAAGCTCTCCACATTCCTGTCGGTTAACTCTTCTGTGCTCTTTCTGACCCAGTCTTCCCCCACGTCTCCATCCCCATTAAAATTGTATTCCTTTTGTGTATGCAATCATACCTTACTGAAACACAAACCTCTGCATTGATATAATAGGCACATTATAAATAAGGTCAAGAGCCATGTCAGGTCTGTGTGGTTGCCATCACTGACAGTGCAGGTGAATTCTGTTCATTAGGTGGAGTGACCGTCCAGGAAATGTTAGAAGGCACACTGAATAACAGATCTCTGTACTGCTAATTTCTTCCAATCTTGAGTTCAGTGTCACCATGATAGCCCCTTAATGCTATGGTTTGGATATCGGTCTGGATGTTGGATGTGCTCCAGAGACCCATATATGCAAGGCCCCGTCTGCCCTGAGTCTTAGGTCAATGTCACTAAGAAGATAGAAACTCAATCCAATTGGAGGTGGTGCCTTATGGCAGTGCTGAGATTGGATTAAGTTGTTGGCCTAGAGCCCCCATAATCAGATCACAATGGCCTAATAAGGAGATGTGGGCAGACACTGTCCCATGTGATGCTGTGGGTTTGCATGGGACTCATCAAGCAGGAAAGCATTCCCTGGAGGCCAAAGCAATGGGGCTGCCCAACCTTGGATTAGGAACCTCCCAAACTGGTCTGAAATAAACCCTTCTTTTGTAACTAGCTTGAGTCTGACATTTAGTTACAATAAAGAAAAGCTAAATAACATAGCTTTCTCCACATCCTCTGCTTTAGTCTGTTTTGGGTTGTTGTAACAAAATACCTGAGACTGGGAAATCTGTAAAGGATTGGGATTTACTTTGGTTCATGGTTCTGGGGGCCGGCAATTTCCAAGAGTGTCTAGTCAGCCTTCTGCTAGGGCCTGCGGCCGATGCAGCATCTGGCGGAAAATGGAAGGGCATGCGAGCACACAGTGGAGTTAAAGCATAAAGGGCAGCCTTGCTGGGTTACAGCTTGTTCTTGGGGTCACCACTGAAGCCCCACAAGAGCAGTACACTGCTGGGAGAGGTTGGCATTCCCTCTTCACCATTTAATTGCCTTTTGAAGGCCCCATCTCTCCCCATGACCACGGTGGCAGTAACACTTCAGCATGAGTTTGGGGGAGAAAAAATCATGTTCAAATAGTAGCCTTCCCTTTCTTTTTGGGGCCTTAAACAACTCCTTATCTTACCAATCATTTCCCAGACCCAAAACTTTCATCCTGAATCCTGAGTATTTTTACTGGCTATTTTTTTTTTTTTCTTATTTTGGCTTAGCGATACCCAGACTGCTTTTGGGAGCATTCTTGCAGGACTCAGTAAAGATATAGTCAAGGTCCTTGAAGCCTGAAGGCTGTTCTTTATGTTCCACTCAGGGAGTATCTCTAGTCTGGTTCTACTTGGTATCTGGCCAGCCTCATAGGACACAGAGCCCTTCCAAAGCAAGGCCACACAACGGACAGTAGTGACTTGGAAGCCACCAAAGGGCCGTGTGGCTCCAGCTTTCTGAATTTGGGCTGGAATTTCCCCCATCTATATAACGGCTGAAAAATGCATCCATAGCATTGTGATGGATATACATGAAACAACTTTATGTGGTATCTAGAACTTCAGGTTGATAAGAATAATAAATGAATTAAGGAATGCTAGTCCTAATGATCTTATATGCCCATCCAGAGGCTGATACGCTTCCTGCTCTTTGACTTGACCAGCACACCGTGTCTCCTTGTCTCCATTTCAGATGTTATGCTTGGCATATCCTTAGCCCTGGTTCCCATGCCTGCTTCTTCCCTTGGTGACAGAACTACTGCATTGCTCTAGGAGAAATTCTTGAATTATTTCTGTCCAGCCAATGATGTCTCCTGGTATTAAATATCTAGAGACAAATCCACCTGTGCATTTTTGAGTTGCTCTGGCCTCTCTCTAGCCTATCTTTTTTTTCCTTCTCTTCGTTCCTTTCTTCCTCCCCCTTTTCCTCTGTCCACTTGCCCCGCAAAACACATACCTTCTTTTTCTCAGTAAGCGTTTATTAAGAACGTGCCAAAAGGAGAAAAGGGCTCCCTTGTTGATGGGAATGTATGTGAGAACAGCTGTTATTGAAAACCATGTGGAGGTTGCTCAGAAAGCTAGACTGCCATAGGATTGAGCAACCCCACTATTAGATGTAAATGCAAGGGAAGTGAGATCCTTGTGCACGCTCATGCTCAATACAGCACTCCTCACAACAGCCAAGAAGTGGGCACAATCCAAGTGACCGTCCACCAATGGAGATAAGGAGAGAAAGCAGTGCATAGACACGACGGAATATTACATGTAACTGTCATAAAAGGATGATATCTTGTCATTTGCAAGAGCATGGATAGAACTAGAGGCACTTATATCTAAGTAAAATAAGGCAGGCACAGAAAGACAAGTTCCATATGATGCCATTCAATTTTAAAAAACAATCTCAAAAGAACTTGGGGTATTTAGTAGTATAATGGTGGTTAGCAGAGACTAGAGAGAGTAGGAGGGAGAGAGTTGGGAAGAGATTGATTAATAAATATTAGGTTATAATAAGTTAGAGAAGAGTAAGAAATTCTGTTGTTCTGTTGCACAGCAGGGTGGTATGGCCAACAGTAGAGTTCTGTGTATTGCTTGACAAGACCAAAAACAACAACAACAACCAGCCAGGATAAAAGATATTGAACTTTTTTCACCCTTAAGAAATGAAAAAGTATTAAGGGATATAGAAATGGCCTACCTTGATTTGGCTATTACACAGGGTAAGAATGAATTACAACATCACATAGTGCCCCATAAACCATATTATTTTTACATGTCAGTTAAAAATGAGAAGATAAAATGAAACAGTGAACAGCCTAATGGGCTAAGCCTGTGCCTTCAACACTAGCAGTTCATATCAGAGTACCCATTCAAGCTCTAGCTATTTCACTTCTGCTCTGGTTTCCTAACAATGTGCCTGGGAAAGCAGTGCAAGATGGTCCAAGTACCTGGGCCCCTGCACCTGTGTGGGAGACCTGGATGGAGTTCCAGGTTCCTGGATTCAACCTGATCCATTTATGTCATACAACCAGCACCTTGATGGGCAATGATCAAAGAAGACTCTTCAACAATAAGAAGTTCACAATGCACAGAAGGCCAGCAAAGAGAACAGAGCACACAGCTGAGAGATGATGCCTTTCTTGAATTTTTTTCCTTTCTTTCTTTTTTTTTGCAGCTCTTATCCTACATAGAGAAACTGCGAACCTCGGTGACGGAAGATTTAAATATAAACAATGTTTTCTACAAGAAAAGGATGGAAGAGCTGGGCCAGAGACTCCAGGAGCAGAATGAACTGATAGTCACTCAGAGGCAGCAGGTATATCTGCTGAGAGCTTGGGGCCATTGTTCTTGAAGCAGTTAGTCTTAGCACAGAGCGTTTGAAAGTTGTGTAAATGAAAGAAAATGGACTACTCTTCCCTCTTTGCGATTGCTTGCTAAAGTAAATGTCATAAAATGAAATTTCTGAACTGGTATTTAAGAGCACTAGATTTATTCAGAATTTAGAATTTGAAGAAAAATAAAAATTTCTTTCAGAAATTATTGAGAAGCAGCCAAATGCCGAAGTGCAGCTTTTTAAGAAACTCTGGTCTTCATGCCTTTGAAGTCCTTGTGTCCTGTATCTGGATGATTTGGTGAAAGGCTGATTTAGCAGCACTGTTGCCTGCCCATTAGCCCCTATGTCCCTTTCTAGTTTCAAGCAGACATTGCTAGATGGCTGTTTCTCTTTGCAGATTAAGGAGTTGACCAGTAAACCAGTAAGCAGTGTCAATGAGCCCAGAGGTAAGTGGACAGGGACCATGCGCCCCAGGTCAGGCAGGCCCCCTAGTCTATCCCTGTTGTCAGAAAAGTGTGGGCACTGCTGGTCTGTGTGGGCTCAGGTGGCATTCTTCTTGTTTTAATTAGGGAAGTCTGTGCAAAAAGTGGAGGAATTTAAAGATTTGACCATACTGTGGCTTTATTAGCTTTTTATCAGAATACAATCATATACACAATACCCGTCCTATAACCATTTGCCCGTGGGTCTGAACTGAAGGCGCAGGGTCCAGAGACAGCCTGGGTTCAACCCTCATCTCTGGCTCTCCGCAGGTCTCTACATCTCTGCCTCAGTTCCCTTAACTCTAAATAGTGACAGCAGCCACATCTTGGGCTTGCTCTGAGGACCAAATGGGATAACGCATGTGCAACACACTTGATAGCACTCCTTAGTGTTGGCTATTAATACTGACATCACTCTTATCATGGTAAAGTGCTGTGACGGCTGGCAGCGTTTTCAGTGCTGGTGCTCTAGAGGTTGAACATTGTTTTCAGCATAGCAGCAGTATATGTGTGACCTAGCAGCGGTCACCTATGTGGCTGTCCCATTTCTGAGTTGCTCAAGAGCTGGGCCGGTGGGGGAGAGTGGAGCCCCAAGTGCAGATGTCACCAAAAAACCCAAAATCTTGCTTTCGGCTTGGTCTCCCCATAACTCCGCCATGGGTTCCTGTGTGGCTGAGTTTGTGAACTGGGGATAGGTACTGGGTGCCGTGCTGGGTGTTCTTCTCCCTGGGTGTCCTTCTCTTTGAACAGTAAGACTTTGGGAAGTGAGGGATACCTGCACACTTAGATACCATAAACCTTTGACTAAAAGTCATTCTAGGAAAAAAATGAGCTTTAATAGGACCTATGGTAAGCATGTGTGCTCTACTGGGTGAGTCACTGTGTACTGGTAAATCTTTTTTTTTTTTTTTTTTCTGGGAGAGACATCAGAAGAAGAGCTACCAAGTTTGTTCCATAGCTGTGACTATTGTTATTAACTTCGTTTTCTGTCATTTCAGGGACTCCTTCAACATGGCAAGTATTTGAACCTAAGCCAACTGTCCCAGCTGTACCTGGTAGGTTTCTGTAATAGCTTTTGGGCTCTTTTATATTATTTTAAGAGACTTATCTTTGGAACACAATGTCCAATGATGTAATGATTTATATTGATATCTGGGTGATTTTTGACTATTCCTGCTTGCCAATTTGCAGCTTATCTAACAAAAGGACAACTGAAAACTCTGACATCCCCTCCAGTTGATATTTCTCGACTTCCCGAAGGGACACCTGCTGTGACCCTGTGACTGTGCGTGGTAGCTGCCTCATGTTGGCATGGCTGAGGCTGTGATTGCAACAGACTTTGAACCACTGTCTGCCCATCCATCCTCCCATGTCAGCTGGCTCATTTGGGCTAGCTCCCAGAACTGTCACTATTTGGCTGTAAACTAGAGTAGTACATCTTGGCAGTTTAGAAACTGGCAGCTACTTTTGTTGAAATATTTTCATCTACATTCAGGGTAGAGTCCGCAGAGGGATAGAACTGTGGATGGAGAATGCAGGAGAGCAGGAGGTACTAAGAGGGGAACAGGCAGACCTGTGCTGAGGCTGTGCTCGGAGCCTGACGCCGCTCACATGGGCTCTGCAATCACAAGGGGACTGTGCCATGACTAAAGGCTATCAGTGAATGTGTTTCTGGCTCTGACACAGGTGCCTGGAAAATGCTGATGGTTTGAACCAGTTAATCTTCCCATGTGCTGCTCAGGGCCTCTTTATTTTGCTTCTGGAATCCAAAGAGGTTGGGAAGTGGTAGGGCGTGAGGGATGCTTACAGTAGGGCTGACGGGAGAGGTGCATTAGGACTTAGATCTTAGGAAAGAAAAAAAAATCATCTCAAAGAAGGATGGGAAAATGAAAAAGGTAGAATTTTTGCACAGCAACAATAAAAGTGCATCAACAACTTAGCCAGAGTTAGCAATGGGACGTTCGGATAACCCTACAGGTGTGTAAAATGATCCATTGAGGTATGGGAAAGAAACTCAATTAGAATTTTAAAAAAACTTGAGAACTTTAAAAAAGGTGATTTTATTTTAATCTTTTTAAAGTTCCCAAGTTTTTATAAAATTGTCAATTGTGCTCAATAGTTGTGTAATAGTAAAAAAGAAAAAAAAAAGTGTGAATGTCATGAACTCTAGAGAACTTCAGGAGAAAAAATGACCCATACCCCTATATCCAGGGGCCTTTGTGCCCGTGGCGGATAGGCGAGTGTGGCTGGCTCATTCTAGTTCTCCTAGCATGGAAAAGAATCTAGAAGTCAAATTCTAATAATGGTAGGAAAACAAAGACACATACATGCTCTAAAGTGAAGATCAGAAGACCCAAATCTTAAAACAGCCTAAGATATATTACAACAAATAAATCAGAACCATGCTCCCCGAAATGGAAGGTTTCTAATATTTAATCTAATACATTAGGGTCAGGCCTCTTGACTGTGATTTGTAGCTTTGATTTAAATACTGAGATATCATTTCAGATCTCACCCGTTACCCTTCCATAAAAAGGAAATACTCAGCTTTATCAAGATTTGGATATGTTCAATTTCAACAAGATTCGATGTTTTGATTCTATAAGCTGGAACAAATGTCTAGAACAGGAATGGTGAATGTTTTGGTGGGTCTTGTTTCCTGTAATGGCTAGGAAATCAATATTTTAGGCTTCATTGATGCTACAAATAGTCTTTTTGCAGTGACTCAAATCTGCCATTCTAGTGTAAGGTGAGCCATAGACAGTACTTAAATTAATGAACTGACCACGTTGCAATAAGACTTCGTATGTACAAAAGCAGGCATGGGCTATCGTTTGCTATACTTTGATGTTGCAAATGGCTTTGAGGCCTGTGTTCTCATTGTTATTGGCAATTTAACATAGTTTGGAGTGAAACACTTTCTCTGTAGTCACTGTGAAGATAATACACCCGCCGACACAAACACACATGTGGGGGCAGCTGAAATATGTGGCAGCAGCTTTAAGGATGGGATTAAACTAAAGCTCGATCTTGACAAAGAGGCAGTAAACTGATAGGGAGGTATTGTTTCATGAGAATAAACTGGATAATCCAGAGGGACTCGTCAGGAAAGAATTGTCAAATTTGAGGTGGGCTCTATCATTCTAGAAAATTTTAAGAGAGAGCTTTTAGTTGTATTCGACTCAAATCTGCCTCTCTAAACACTAAGAATGAAGTGATGCCTCTGCATGGAGTCAGATACATAAATAAATCAGAACCATGCTCCTCAAAATGAACGGTTTCTAATATTTAATCCAATAATGGACTAAATGGAGTCATTTAATCCATGGGCTGGAATCCTTTAAGCAATCCATTTTTTGTCCAGGAATATTCATGACAACTTTTATTGTAATAGCCAAAAAAGGGGAAGCAACCAAAAGATGGCTCATTTACCTAGCAATGTTATTTGGCTATCAAAGTGTTTGTTGATATATTGATACATGCTACGGTATGTATGAAACATGAAAACATCATGTCAGCTGATAAGAGTCAGATGAAAGGAAAAAGGGACCATCTATCATATGGTACCACCTATATGAAATGTCCACTGCAGGCACATTCACAGACAAAAAGCCAATGTTGCCAGAGGACAGGGAGGAAAGTAGAAATGTTGGCCAGAACATATGGATATTTTGGAGGTATAAATCAGGAAAAATGTTGCAAAATTAGAAAACAATTGTGGCTGCACAGCCCTGTGGATTTACTAAAAGCCACTGGATTGCAGATTGTCACTGGATGAATGTGTCTCATTAAAACTGTTAGGAGAAGTTGGTTTAGGTTAGTTGTGTAATATCTCTGTCATGCGAAGCATTTGGCCTTTAGGGCCTGTATGTGTCCTGGTTAATTGGAGTATTTGCATATCATCAGGTAAGATGTTTACGCTTTCATTAATGGAACCTGTGAGCTTTTCCCTTCCCATCTTGTTGCAGGGAATGCCCCAGCCTCACAGACTTTGGAAGCGAAATCTAGCCTAACAATGGCACATGGTAAGTTTCAGCCATAGTTTCTGCATTTTATGTGCAGTTTCTACATCGTGTTAGATAACTTATTAACCCAAAGTACTTCCTGGGGGGAGAGGGAAGGTAATTATGCTAATAGGAAATACTTGAGTACAAAATAGTTAATAAAACTGCATTCCTTATATTTAATATTATTGTAAGCTGGACATAACTACCAAAGTTACAAAGCATAATACGTAGGCACTAGTGGACTGACAAATAGAGATTTTCAGTTTAATATTTTTATGCAAAGGAGTAGTAGGTATTGAGTGAGAAAGAAAGCGACTTACTACTAGACCAGTCAACCAGCACATGCTACAGGGCATGTGGTTGTTGTTATAACTTTGAGTGTGGCAAGAAATCACCTTTTTAAAAATAGTTTCACAGATTAGTTGGAAGGGCCTAGAAAGGACATGTGATGGAAACCAAAGGAAATAAGTAGGAACCAGTAAGGTGAAATTGCTGCAGGATTCAGTTCTTGGGCCTGATCCAAAAGGGAACAATTGTTTTTTCACATGATCAAAGACTTGGAGCCGTATCTCCCTTTTTATGCCATGTAGGTGTTTAGTGTTTTCTTGGTATGTTATCTAGTGTGTCGTTTTCTTATTGTCTGCTATATAATTACAAATGAATTCAGTGGAAGGACCATCTTTTTCCCATCTCATTTACAAGTGTTTTGGAATCTGATGGTCACTGCACACCACTTGTGGCTTGGCCTTTTTAAAAGGTTAGATTTCAACATCATGGGACTTTTCATCTTCCTAAATATTCTAATCTACAGATGATGGTGTGTAGTAGTGATCTTTCTTATGCTAACTCAGAAAGTGTTTATTGCACTTTTTTTTATAAAGGATTTTTAATTTTTATGGGAGAGTCAGATATAGAGAGAGGAAGAGAGAAAGATCTTCCTTCCACTGATTTACTTCCCAAGTGGCCACAACAGCTGGAGCTGCGCTGGTCTGAAGCCAGGAGCCAGGCACTTCTTCCAGGTCTCCCATGTGGATTCAGGATCCCAAGGCTTTGGGCCGTCCTCTGCTGCTTTCCCAGGCCACAAGCAGGGAGCTGAATGAGAAGTGGGGCTGTTGGGATATGAACCAGCGCCCATAGGGGATCCTGGCATGTGCAAGGCAAGAACTCTAGCCAGTAGGCTACTGTGCCAGGACCAACCGCACCTTTTTTTTTCCTTGAGTATGTAAAATAATTCATAGTGTATAAAGTAATTCTCCATGCATGAGATCTTACTATTTATAAGCGTTTGGAGCATGAAAGAATTTTCCCATGTTGGCCCAATAACAGATATAAAATGCATTTTGGACTAACTGAAATTTGATATTAAACATACAGAAAAGCTACCCCTGCAGTGCTGCTCCATGTTATATTATGTAGGATCTAGAATGTCCCTGCTGTCTCCTTTTTCAGGTTTGATTTTGGTAAGGCTTTGTTGGCCTTTCTCACGTCTACTCCAACAGTACGTCTTGGTTTCTTTTATCTCCCCCACCCCCACTTTGTTATTTCTAGATTTTGCATGACAAAGTTCATATCTTGCCATGTCTATTTTTGTACCATAATACATTGAACAGGTACATTAAGCTGCCCATGGTTAATTTACAAGTCTTGATGAATTTTAACGTAGTTCATATAGGCCAGAGGTTGCCTTCTTCCTAACACCTGCTAGGATTGACATGCTGCTCTTCCAGGCCAGCCAGACCATGCGATGGTGGGTTGGATTGGGACCCAGGCTGATTTGTAAGCACCTCAATGGGCAGGAGCTAAGAGGAGACTTGGCCAGGGCCCCCTATGTTCCTCACCTGGTGATGTTCCTCACTTTTGTGGAAAGCAGGGGCACTTAGTTCTGTGTAGCATAATGTCATTCAGCACATCTGCCCTCCTTCCCTTGGTTCATTGCGAAGCCTGATGAGGTTTTTCTCCATGGGAAATTCCATGATGCTTCATCAGGCCAGGTTGGATCACCTGGGAACAGGCCCAGATGCAGAGGCTCATAGGTGGGAGGTTTACTGGGACATCGCATGGACAGCACCCATGAGGGAAGGAGGTTGGGCCAGGGACTGTGCACCCAGATGCAGCTGTAGCCTCTCTGGCTTGGAGTTGGCTTTGGCAGTCCAGAATCATCCTCCAGCAAGGCAGGATGATTCGCCTGGCATAGCTGTTCTGCCCTGGGCAGAGGTAGGCTACTCCCTTAGGGAAGGGGCACCCAGCGTGAGCTGCCAGGAGCCAGCATTGCCAGGATGCCTGCCCTGAAAGGTTCTGGATAAAATTGGAAATTCTCATAGCTCCCCTACTTTTGACTGCTATTAAACTGAACCAAATAAGGCAATAAGGCAATTGACAGGAGAAAGCATGGATTCTGGAAGAAATAAGTGATCCTGTTCAATTGCCATTCACGCCAGTAAGTTTTTTTCTCGATTAAAAAAATAATCTCAGAGTATTTTTACCTCTAGAAAATACACTGCTTACTTATCGTGACTAAATTGTGATAAAAATACATGTTGTTGTTGTTAAACTTGATGTGTTTGCCAGTTGCTTAGGTTGGCCTCATAACGTATCCTACCTTTAGATGCCCAGGCAAAATATGTATCTTGTAAAATTATCACTTTTCCCAATGCCTATGGGTACCTGCTGGGTTCTACCATAAAGAAAGATAATCTTCTAACTTAGCCTGTAAATATTTAGGGGTGTCGTGTGCCTACTGTAACCTTGTGGGTAGAACAAAGGGCACAGAAATCTAGAACTTAGAAATGGAAACGCTTCCCTAAAACTTTGTATCTGTCCTCGTTGACCTTTCAAAAGGCAGAAGCACTGTTGTTAAACTTTGCAGTGATTATATTTTGTCCTTAATGTAAATATTTTACAACTCAAGGTACTGAAATCTAACCCAGCAATTTGCTTCATGCAAGAGCTCATTCACCAATATGTGTCAGATAGGGTATTCTGTAGGTGTTTTGTGTTCTTAATGCAAGGAGCCTCCCTCTGGCCCAAACGGTAATGCTAAATGATGGGGCAGAGACTGTGGAAGGGGTGTCGGATCAGAACTGCTAAAGGAGAATGGATCTGACGCCTGCCTGGGCACCACACTTACACGCAGCTAGCCTCTTAGATCTATGTCCTGAAACAGCTTCAGGCAAATCTAGTGAACTGCTGTCGTTTGGAGAAGTGTTTAACATGCCATTTGTAATGATGGCATTTCTCTAGCTTTGTACCATGTCATTCCTGTCATCAACTACTGAGCAATGACAAATAGTCTCAGACCATCCCGTGTGCAAGACAAAGGCTAGGGGTGACCAACAAAGGTAACAAAATGCGGCAGAAGCAATGCCATTGTTGAGAAAGGTGACCAGATGTTGGTAATTATGGAGCAAGGTGAGTATCCAGGTCAGAGGGTGATTACTAAGTTACAAACAGGACCTTCAGAGCAAAAGGTATTAAATCTGAGATTCTCACAGGGTGCCTAGGCACAAGTCTGGCCACCCAGTGAGCACTTAGTGATTGTTGGCAGTTGTCACCGTAGTCCCTTGCTGCACTCTGGTATCTGGGCTATTATAAAAGGACCTCAGCATTGGGGGTGAGGGTGGAGAGATAGACTGGTGGTTTCCCTGGATCCAACTCTAAGGTGAATAAACAAAGCACCACCGAAGCCATACCTGCTGGTTGCATTTTATCCCAAGTTTAATGCCTGTCACTGTTAAACCTTTGGCCAAAATCTGACCTTCTCCATACAGTAAACGCTCCTCTGTTGGAAGCTGGGGTTGGGTTCTGTTGCCTTGTATATCCCTATGACATCCCTCTGGGGAAAGTCCCTCCGTGATCTCGTCTCCTCCACCTGCAGCCACTGTTCTGGGCTGAGTGGGAGTTCTCTGCACCTGCCCAGTGTGGGGCCAGGACCTATTGTAGCCCACAGCCTTGTCCTTTCAGTTCTCAAAGAACAGAACAAGGGCTTGAAACACAGCTTAGGGTGTGGAGTCAGATGAGGGCCCTTCAACAAGCTGCTGGAAAAACAGAACTAAAGGCTAAGTTTGGGAGTGCATGTTTGGCTTAGCAGTTAACATGATCATATTCCATAGTGGCATGCCTGGGTTTGGTGGCGGCTCTGGCTTCTGTTCCAGCTATCTGCTAATGTGAACTGTAGCAGGCAGTGGGAATGGCTCAAGTGGTTCCTGCCAATCACCTGGATTCAGTTCTCAGCTCCTGGATTTGACCCCCGCCATTGTGGCCATTTGAGGAGTGAACTATTGCGTGACAGCTCTCTCTCTCTCTCTTTGCCTCTCAAATAAATTAGTATATATTTTAAAAAATAAATTTATTTTGATTCAAAAGTTTTTGAAATTCATGTAGTGTTTTTTTTTTTTTCATAATAGGCACTTCCATGGACTCTTCAAATGGTTTTTAAATGAACATTTATTTATTTATTTTCATTTTTATTTGAAAGGCAGAGAAAAAGAAAGCTCTTCCATCTACTGATTCACTCCTCAGATGCCCACAGCAGCCAGGCCAAAGCCAAGAACCCAGCACACATTTAGGTCTCCTGCATGGCTGGCAGGGACCAAATACTCACACCATCATTGCCTGCTAGAGTATGTGCTTGCAGGAAGCCGAGTCAGAAGCAGGGGAGCTGGGACTTGAACCAGGCACCCCTGTATGAATATGTGGGGTATCCCCAAATGCAGCTCAATCGCTGTTCCAAATACATCTTCCCCTCCTTGAACTTTTCCAAGGTCACTGACACCTTGGGGCTGACCTGTCACCTTTCCTGATATGAGAGACTTCCTTGTCTCACTGACGCTGGTGTCAGTGAAAGAAGCAAACAGGAAGTGGAAATTCCAAAGTTCTTTGTAGTTGAAGTATTTTTTTTTTTTACTGATTTTCTCTTTAGCCACATTCCCAAAATATTTTACAAGGGATGAAGATCTTTTGTGGTGGTATTCTTAGAGAACTCAGAAAAGTGAGAGTCTTGATTTATTTAAAAATGTAACTTCCTTAGAATGGAGTTAATGAAACATACATAGAAATAGAAAATATCATGGAAAAAATGACCAGTTCTAACTGCTCCAATCTTTTGCCACCTACTCTATTACTATTACATAGACATGATTAAATTATTATGGAATTCTAACTCTTGAAATTGTTTGAAAGGAAACTGATGTGAAATTGCTGATCTTCTATTTTGCTATTCTTACTTTTCCTTGTTAATAGAACAAGCATTCTCATCGCACGTACTGGAGCCAATAGAAGAACTTTCGGAAGAAGAAAAAGGTAACCAAGGGTCTGTTCGGGGGTCCCCTGCGCAGGTTTTGCTCATGTGCTAAAACCTAAGCCTCCATGCCCCTATCACGTTAGGCGGACATGCCAGGCTCAGTTACACTGCAGTCTATGTGCAGGAAGCTGTTCTGTTCTTGCCCTAACTCTTGCTACATTCCACCCCCCTGCTTTACCACATTCTTATGCAAGCACATGAATAAGAATTTCCTTTGTCAGGACCCTAGGAAAGAAAATCTAAGGCTTTATTTCAGTGAAAGTATTTTCTGATGGGGTGATAGATTGAACCAGATGATACAGAGATATTTGCCAAACCTGAATTTAAAATAAATGGATAAAATGCCCATTTTACAATGATTTTTAATAGCAAAAAAAAAAAGCATCATGCTACTTTGTGCAAAATAGCATGTCTGTGGTGAAATTTGGGAGCTGTTACCTGTTTGAGGAAATAATTTAAATGGTCTCACTTTCTCATTTGACTTGTCAGTTTTGAAAGTTACTTTCTATCAATTCATTTTTGAAGTTTATTAAAAATACTTCAAATTTAGAAGTATTTTCTAATACTAGACATTATCATGAAGACAATTTGAATCTGTTTACCAAAATCTAATAATATTTAACCAAGTATTCTGCTTGCCAACCCTTTTTTTTTATTAAGAAAATTGCTAATATCTCAGGGATTCTGATTTTGTCATTTTTATCAGGAAGAGAAGTAAAAATTTTTGCAAGCTTTTAACTTTAGAATGGACTAAATCAAGTCTATTCATTTTAAGTGCATGATGTTTTCAAGTCTTGTTCTTGCTTTTGTCTATTTTATGTCGTTCTCACATACCTCTGCAACCTGTGTGACTGCTGAACAGATTATTCCACTCATTTTCCTATCTTTCTGTCCCAGTCACTGCCCACAGTCAATACTAATTTTGAAGACCATTATTCTGGTTGCACCCTTGCATCCTTATTTCTTTTCAATTGCTGTTGCAGAATTTAAGAACAATGCCAACCTGGTTGAGGGGATGTAGCCTCACTTTCCAAATGGTCTGCCACCATTCTGTGGGATCCTCATTTCATTCCTCTGCCAGCAATGGGAGGAGGTTGGCGGGTCTTTGGCAAGTCCTTCCAGCAGCTTCCAAGGTGGCTCCAGCTATGTAACGTCCAAGGGGATGCCTGATGGCTAATTCCATTCCACAGACCAAGAGTCCCACTATTAACAATCAGTTGCCAATGTTTAAAAATTGGAATGCCTCCCTTGAGATATCCTAATTTCTGAGATTTCTTGAAAAAAGACTGGAAACCCTAGACATGGTTCCCTTGAGTAAGGCTAGTAATAGCAGTCATGGCCATGGAAGTTGCTACAGCACCTGGAATTAGACCATCCTCTCTTCTGCCCCACTTTGCCTTCGTTGTGCGTGGGCCTCTCTCAATGAAGAGAAATGGCACTTAAAAATAATGTCCTTCAGAGGATTCCAGCCATTCCTGTTGGTTGCCCAGAGAGAACATGAACAAATTTTGCTCTGTGTGAGTCATAAATCATGACACATCATTTTATTTTCAAGCTTCCAGCCCCCTTGGTGCATATCATTGATTAAGGACCAAGATGTTAAGTCTCATATTCTCTGGAAATGTGTGGGGAAGTTTATAAGAAGAGGTCACATCATTTTGAAGCTGGAACTTCAATTCCGTGAGGTTGACAGTTCTTTAAAAAAATGAGTCAGGAGAGGCTCTAAGAGGAATTGTGATTTTCCCACCCTGACTCAGTTGAGTCTCTCGACCTTGAGTCCCGGGTTTTAACAACGGAACCGGCTTGCCTTTGTGGTGAGAGTGCTGTCCCCTGTAAGATGGGAGCTTGAGATCATCAACAGCAAACACTGTCATTGGTTGCGGCCATATTTAGGGCAGTGTAATGAGGAGGAAAAAGTCTTTGCTACTCTCCACATGTTCAGTGAGAGCTGTGGTAGCAGAGAGGAGGGGGCTTAGGATCACAGAACAAAGGAACCAGTCACTGAATTCCAGCAGCTCCCTGGAGTTGACAGACATGCAGCTGATTAATTGCCATCAATACATTCCTTAGCTTGTGCTGACTTTTGCAGATAAATGTTTGCAGGGGTATGCATTGGCTGTGGCTCTGCAGCAGCACCGTGGCTGCCCGCAGGAGAAAGGCTGATCCTGCACATGTGCTTTCCAATAGCTGTGTGTAGGTTGCTGACCCATAGGATGTGAGAGTGTAAGGATTAGAAGGCAATCTGAGGGGCTGTTTCATTTTCCTGAAACCTGAGATCCAAGGTGATTAAGACCTGCTGCAGGTTGTGGAGTGTAATGTGTGACCAGGCTGGAACTAAAGTCCACGTTTTCTGCTTTTTGTGCTTTAATCCAAAGAACCTATGAAGAATGGCAAGTTGGTGGCCAAGTTGGAGGAAGTTCCTGTACTTCTCTGGTCTTAGTGTCCTCATGGGAAAGAGGAGGAGACTCATTATAAAGCGATAGATGTAGTCCCTTGCAATTCAGAAATCTTCTTTGATTAGTCGCTTTGCACTTATGTGTTTACCGTAAATGGCAGAGCTGATCACATGTGGACTCATGTGACTTTGGCCATCTGGTTGGTCATTTTGAAATGTTACATTGGACAAAATGCTGGTCTCTAGAAAGTGTTACCTTGTTGGTTTCTTTGGGCATTATGCATTTTAAAATATATACTTATGGTTGTTTCTCAGTAAGTAATTCTACTTCTACATTCTTCTTCTTGCTCCCACCAGCCAATCCCAGCTTTATAAGAATACTTACAGTGAATTTTTAAATTAAAATTATAAATATTTTCCTAAAGCATGCACCACCATAGAATAGTAAACTTGAGGACCACGGGAGAAATTAAATCAGTTTTAATTTGGAGAAATTTGGTTTTCAAATTGAACTTGTTATCAGCAAATGACTTCAGTAATTCTAAGTCTTGTAAGCTCTGGTTAAGCCATGCTAGCCATCACTTGACCCCAGGATGCGGCTCCACATCCAGAGCAAACAGGGTTGGAGCTGTACTTCCTATGGTACCAGAGAGACTGGACCAAGGATGACTTTTGCATAATGAGGACAGGGGGATGCCTATTTCAATATTAGCGTCACCACCTCCAGGTTTTTTCTTAATTGCAGTTTTTTTTAATAGCTCTGATAATTTTCAGAATGATGGGCCAACTAGAAGCCAAAGCCAAAGGCCTCAGCTAAACCTTTGAGATTGTCATGGCTTGACAGATCCTAATATGGAACTGTGTTTTTTTGTTTTCTTGGAGGTGTTTTAGAATATTTGAAAGTGTTGGTGATTAAATAGCAACATGAATGCTGAGAATATAAAATTTAAGATGACTTGGAATTTTTAATAGTGGTCATAGGTAATTTTTTAATTTCTGTTTCAGCAAGCCAAATAGATGATTATGGAAAAGTATGTTAATGCAGTATTTTTTTTCTTCCGCTTAATGCACAAATAGTAGTTTGAATGATTTTTTCCCTTCAGTAAAACCACTAATTAACATCTCAAAACTATTCTTTACCACCAGGAATGAAATGGAATTTAGACAAACATCTTTAACAAAGGCATTTTTGTTCAAGATCTTCACAAACCCAAGCTGGTTAGGTGCTACACAGCCCGAGTGCTGAGGTGTGCAAGCCAGTGGAGCCAAGGGTGTGTTCCCCTGGGCCAGCCTGCAGTCCCACACCTCGGAAATGACCTTTTCTTGGATGTTGTCTTTGTTTGCGGGTTTTACTCCAAAATGCCATCATGTAGTTCTCCCAGCGCTGGGGACGTTTCCTGGGGACTAGGTCGAGTTCTGGGTCTCTTGGACTGCTTGCCTCTTTAGTTCCCTTGGACGCGGACTCAGACTCCCACAGCGCATGCAATGGGCCCCTCCTCCACACTCCACTTTTTTTTTAAGTATGCAGTGAAAATACAAGAAAGGAAAAGTGAGGAGAATAGATGATCTGTTGTTCTGAGTCTTTTTATTTTAAAAACAGACTTTTCTGAAGATGTTTCTTTAACTGTTTTTCCATTTTGGCTAGTGAGGGTGACAAACATTTTTTTATTGCTTAAAATTTCTCATTATTTAAAATAAGTTGGGATTTCTCCTCTTAAGATGATACATAAATTCTAACTAAATCTAGAGATGAATTAGGAAATAATGAGATGTTCTAGTGATAAAACATTAAAATGCTAAATAAAATTTTTTCATCATGCTTCTTTAGGTGTATACATTTCATTTAAAACTTGATTCAGTGGTTAATAAAGCCATTAAAGTTTTTTTTTTAAAGATTTATTTTTATTATTTTTTTTTTATTGGAAAGGCAGATATACAGAGAGGAGAGACAGAGAGGAAGATCTTCCGTCCAATGATTCACTCCCCAAGTGAGCACAACGGGCCGATACTATGCTGATCCGAAGCCAGGAGCCTCTTCCGGGTCTCCCACGCGGGTGCAGGTTCCCAAAGCTTTGGGCCGTCCTCGACTGCTTTCCCAGGCCACAGGCAGGGAGCTGGAAGGGAAGCGGGGCTGCCGGGATTAGAACCGGCGCCCATATGGGATCCCGGGCGTGCAAGGCGAGGACCTTTAACCACTTGCGCCACCGCGCCGGGCCCAAAGCCATTAAAGTTTTGAAGCTGACTTAAAATAGTTTTATAAAGGATCTTCAAATTTCCTGGAAAATGCATATTTGTGAAAAAAAATGCAATAGATTTCAATTTTTTGCACCAAAATAAGCTTATTTTTAAATCTGTCTTCATAGCATTTTGGAATGCCTTCATAAAAACTTCCATATTTAAGTATTTTATATTTTGCTAATGACTGAAACACCTGAAAACTTAAAAAAAATTACCAATGTTTGATTGCTATTTAAAAAATTACACTCTGTCATTTTCTGCTTGGAAATTTAATGAATGCATTTGTTTATTTCTTCTTTAACACATGTTTTAAACCCCTATTTCAGGAAGGGAAAATGAGCAGAAAGTAAATCACAACAACATGAATTTCATGAAAACTTTGAAGAATAACCCATCCCTCACTAAGGAAATCAGAACAGTTCTGGAGCAGAGCTTGGTGGAGAAACTGGAAGTCCTGGGGATTAACGCGGTAAGTCCCCTCATTCTGGGACAGCTGTGAGCTCTGCTGGAGTTTGTTTTCCAAAGAAGAGGCAACCAGAGAAAAGACACATCAGGGCTGTCCATATCTGCAGACCAGAGGCTAATACAAGCTGGTTTATTAATTAGTCAGTTATATGTGTGCCTGGCCCATTCCTAGGATCTTAGTAAGTACGAACTAACATCAATGGAGAATGAGACCTCTAGGATGAGGGCCACTGTTAGCCCTGACTTACACAAAGGTCAGTTACCTTGGGCAAGGAACTTGATATTCCTGACTGTGCATGACAGTTCAGTTTTACCACATCTTTCCCCAATTCATACTATTTTCAGTTTTAGATGTTCTTTTTGTACTCTTCTAGAGCAAGGAAATCAAAGCCATTCATGCAACATCTGCAGTTCATCTGTAGGTCGCTACTGGGAACAAATTCTTTGTGTAGGTTGTTTGCATATAGTTTGAGGGTTTTAATTTTAATTTGGACATTTACTTTTATCCTAAGATGATAAAAAAATTTAATTATTTTTTCCCCTAATGTTTGGAGACTATTTAGGCTGCTTTGTTCCCTGGATTGGTTTATCCATCTGGGCTGTATGAATTGGGTTATAAAATAGTGCCTTTGTAGCATTAGCCTTTGAGATGTACCATGTCTATTTCTGCCCTAGCATGTGCCTCTCCCAGAGGCTGTCCCTCCTTGTTCCTATTTGTCTGGCTCCACTCATCCTTTGGGGCACAACTTAACCCCCCAGCTGGCCTTTCTGGCTCCTGGGGCCTCCAGTGGTTTCTCCTTGGAATTCCCCTGGCTTGTGGGTTTGGTATTCACCACATTTGACTCTGCACGGTTGATCACCCAGTCAGAAATAATCAGTCACATACCTTCCATGCACTCAGAGCCCCTGCTGGGGTCAGGGACAGCATGTTCTGTGGGGATAGGAGGGTGCCTCCCCCATTTTCCACACAGTAAGGATGAATCAAAGCAGTTGTGCAGTCAATGCCAACATATGCCTATGAAATGAAAGTGGTCCAGGGTAACTGATTAACTTGATGTCATATTCCTTCAGGACATACGTGGTATTCCCAGCGATCGCTTCAACAGAGTGTTAAGAACTGTGGAGTCAGCCAGACATGAGAGAGAAAGACAAATACCCAACATGCAACAAATCCGAGAATTTCTTCAACATCAGGTCAGCTGCAAAGTTGAAGAGCGAACATTACTCTGTTCAGGTAAGCCTGTTACTGATAGCCAGTTTATTGCCACTGATCAGCACTTAATTTGGCCATCTTTTCACAATCCTAAAGGGTTTACAAGCATTAACAATGGCGCTTCACTGACAATTATCTACCTCTTCGTGCCATTAAATGCTGAGCCACAGAGTTTGCTTCCACATTGAAAACAAAGCAAAACAACAACACCAACAAAAACCCCCGGAGTCTGGACTCTGGATACCTAGAAACATGCTTGCTTTTTTTCATAGTAGCACCAACAGTGTGGAAGATTGACTTTTTCTTTTTATCTTACTGAGATAAAGACAATGGAGTCTGAAGCTTGACCCTGCTTTTACAGATAAGCTCCGAGTTCCTCAGATGGACACCCTTTCAACTGGAGAAGTCCCCAAAGCAATACACCTTCCTCTCCAAAGCAGACCGTTGGCTAGACAGAGAACCGTTCTCACCGATAGGACATCTGGTGCCAAGTGAGTGTCCGCAACCCCCACACTTGTTTGATGAATGTGTGTCTTCATCAGCTTAGGCTGCTGTAATAAGCTGCCATCGCCCGGGCAGCTCACACCACAGGAATCCATTTTGGAGACTGGAATCTGAGAGCAGGACGTCGGCAGGGGTGAGCGCTGTCATTCCGCTCCACACACACAGCTGCCTCCTCACTGTGTCCTCTGGGCACACAGTGAAAGAACTAGAGTCTTTGCTCTTTGAGTAGGGGCAGGAAGCCCTGCAGAGTTGCCCCATCAGATGATGGGGTCTCATCAAGATCTCACTGGTTTAGTCACTTACCCAAATGCTTGCTTCCTCCAGAAACCATCACCTTGGAGGGATGTCACATTTCAACACAGGGAGTAGCTAACAGACTCTGAGTCCCTTGACAATGTTCTGCCCATCAGATGATCTCATTTGGAATTTCTGTCCATCATTGCTAACTGAGACACTTTTGTTAACAGTTTTCCCTCCCCTTTATGTTAAAAACAAAAATCAACTCCATAAGATTTATGTTTAACTATATTATTCATTCATGTAGTTAAGAATTATTTTTGTTGATTTTTTTTTAGAATTATGAAGACTCCCATGGAAGATAATTTTCCCAGAAAGTCTTCAACTATCTCGTGAGTATTTGCGGATCAGAGGGTTCGATGAAAGAATATTCCTTTCATTGTAAATGAGTAGGCACATTGTGGTTGACTAAAGATGTTATTTTAAATTTCATAATCAATCAACCAGTTAAATTTGATCAGATCATATGGATGGCATGACTTGAAATGATTACCATTAGAGTGTATGGTTGCTTAAGGTGGCATAGTTTCAGCTCCTTCTGGAAGTTGCTAACAACCTGACTTTACTCTCTTGGAGTTCTCTGGGGAAACCAAGATCCTTGCATGGTTATTTCATCAGCTGTGTGCCACTGACGCAGCTAATGGCTGTGTGAAGCCTCAGTTTGCTCATCTGTGTTATGGATGACGCTGCCCTTTCCATGGGCTCTCTCTGCTTATTAAATGAGAATGTATGAAAGGGCTTGGCACACTGATTACAGATGCTCAAACTACAGATATATTTTGGTGATTAATTATAAGCAAGACTAGTTTTATAATTAAACCTCATCATCATTGCCTCTTTCTAAAGACCTCTCCGAGGCAGTGTAGAAATGACAGATGACTCACTCATTGGACGCTGCTTTCAGATCTGTACACTCGAGGGAAGCGCCTTCACTTCCTGGGCCATAGTATGATTGACTCTACAGGACCAACACCTTGTCCAGTGTGCTCTGCCTTCTCTTTCATTCTAAAATGGGGGTGATCATTCCTGTGAATGATACGCAGAAGCACTGTGCAAGGTGGCGACATTATCTTACAAGATGGGGTGGGTTCATGGTAATACATGTTTTTCTTCCACTGAGAAATGTTCCTCTTAGGTGTGTAAAAACCAAGAGTGGAAAGAATCTACACACTTGGGTTGAGAAGGGAAAAGTGGGGACGTCAGTCCGCCTGGATCCACGTGCCTCAGGTCTGGCAGATCTGGACTTGTGGTGACCACTCTGCCTTGTGTGGGCCTTTGGGTCTTAAGGTCATCTGGTCTGGGACCCAGTCCCACCCCCAGCCCCACCCCCAGGCGTTGTTTGTCGTGCTGCCCCCCTGGACATGAGGCACTGCCAGGAGATGCGTTATCTATGAATCTTGGTTTGCGTAGGACTCCTCCCTTCAGTTCCGAGGAGGACCTGGATGAAGAGGATGTCATCCAGGCGTACGGGTCCCCAGACCTACTTCCTGTGAAGCCATCTAGAAGCAACAAGAGCAACGTGGTGAAGAGTACAACCAGCAGAAGTGACACTGACTGGACCGAGGGCAGTGAGGTCGAGGAACTGAATGTCCTTCCCAAGCCTGCAGGTGACCTGGGTGGCTGGCAAAACCTCCTGGGAACTGGGACAGGGATTGTCCCCTGAGGACACCAAGTGTTGGGAGTCAGAGCTGGGAGAGTGTGCAAAGAGAGGAAGGCAGCAGATCTGAAAAGGCACTGCCCAGGAATGTAGTCAGGGCCTGGCCATCAATCCAGGGCCAAGGTGAAGGAGAGGGCTGCCATGACAAGGCAGCACACAGTGTGAGGCAGTCAGGAGGGCTGCAAGGGAATGGCTGCTCCATGCTGCTGCCCTGGGCCTGTGCATGGCAGTCTGCTCCCCGTGTCCTGAGCCCATTCTACGACTATACTTTGATGAACCTCTTAAGCAAAATCTTGTTTCCCAAAAAGGCATTGCAGGGGCATTATTTGGACTGAAGATTGAGTCTTCTGAAAAAACACGTCTCAACTGGTTTCTGTTGATCCTACAGGAACCTCCATCCAAACACTCACTGAACAAGTTGAGAAGATTGCTTCACACCACGGAAATGCCACCAGGCCCGCTGGTGGGGTTCATGTTGCTGAGGTGTTGGTCAGAAAGGAGGACTTACGGGAAGAACTAAAGGTGACATCACTTTGGCTTGCAAGCATGCCTTCAATCATTTTTTTGACAGATACACCTCAATAACTGCAGTTTGTGTGTGTGAAATATAAGACAAGACTTCTAGTACAACAGACGTTGAGATTGTTCACTTCATTGTCTTTCAGTGTTGTGTTTCTTCCTATTCTATAGAGAAGCAGAGCTATTGGAGTGATGCCTGGTACTGGATGCTATTTGTGTAGCACAACTCACAGGCTTCCTGTCCCTGTCCTGGGAATACTGGCTGCCTGTGGATCCTAGGTGTCTTCTACGGAGAGATGTGGCTGGCTCGAACCTGGGGCTCTCCTGCCCCCAAGTCACATCCTGCAAATGAAAGGGCCTTTTCTGGAATCTGCAAAATGCTTCAGAAACCACATGAGCCCAGAGAGTGCAGGGCAGCCCCAGCACAGCGGAACCCAGTACTTGCTGAGTGGTTCTCTCTCCCAGGGCTTGGAGTGTGGCTGTGGATGGATCCCTCCCTGTTTCCGCACACAGCTCATCCCGGGGGACAGGCTCTGCCAGCTGGGGTCACTCTGGCCTTCACTTTTCACCAAGATTGAGTTTTTATTCTATTTTTTCACCTAAATTTAATTCTTACCTGTTCACTCACAGACTCGAGAACAGTCCATCAGACTACTTTTATTAGTGATCTTGGTGCTCCAAGCCCCATCATGGCAAAAAGCCACTTGTCTTTCAAGAGACAATGAAGTGTCTTCCTTTGGAAAGCACTGGACGTCGGCTTCCCTCAGGAAGGGTCTTTTCTTCAGGGCTCTTGTGATGTTTAGAGTTTAATGTCCCTGTAATGCCTTTTTACTGGAATTTTCTAAATTCACAATGGTACAAAGTACAAAAAAAAAACCTAAACCCAGGGCCCAGAATAGCCTTTAAGATGCAGACTTGCAAGTCTATCACAGTACTGTGTAGAAGTGGCTGCTGTAGTGTCAGCTTTTTTTTTTTTTTTACTGCTTAGTTTCAGTTGCTGAGTTTAGTGCCAGCGCGACTGCTGGGCACCATCTCTCTTTGCAACACGAAGTCATTCTGCATGCATTTCTTTCAGTGCACAGATGTGGATGAGGACGACTGGGATATCTCATCTTTAGAAGAAGAAAAATCTTTGGGGAAAAGACCTGGGAAAGGACAGAAGGAGCCTCCATCTGTGAAGAGTGAACCAAATCCTATTCAGCTGCCCAAGGCCTGGGGTGCATTGCAGCCTCGCGGGCCGCGGGGGGAAGGTGCGCTGCTCCTGTCTCACTTGCTGATTATCTGTACTCCATTTCTCAGTCTCTACTTCAGTGATGCCAGCTTGCATCAGACAATTGTCATCACCAAGAACTTGATGCTCTTCCAGTGTTATTTTAATAAGGGCTATACCTATACAACCTGCTATTTGTTTAAAAAAAAAGATGTATTTTTATGTAATTTTAAAAAGATTTATTTATTTTTACTGGAAAGCCAGATTTACAGAGAGAAGGAGAGATGGAGAGAGAGAGAGAAAGATCTTTCATCCACTGGTTCAGTCCTCAAGTGACCACAATGACAAGAACTGAGCTGAACTGAAGCCAGGAGCCAGGAGCGTCTTCCGGGTCTCCCACCAGATGCAGGCAGGATCCCAAGGCTTTGGGCTGTCCTCTAATGCTTTCCCAGGCCACAAGCAGGGAGCTGGATGGGAAGTGGAGCAGCCAGGACACAACCCAGTGCCCACATGGGATCCTGGCACATTCAAGACGAGGACTCCAGTTACTAGGCTACCATGCAGGGCCCTTTTTTTGTGTAATTTTAAGCCTTATCTTGAATCTTCATAAAACTGGAGTGGAGCTGGTAGTATGATGTGGATTAAGTTGCCACCTGCAATGCCAGCATCATGTATCAGAGTGCCAGTTCAAGTCCCCACTGTCCTGCCTCTGATCCCGCTCCGCTAATCCACCTGGGGACAGTGGAGGCTGGCCCAAGTACTCGGTCCTCTGTCATCCACGTGGGAGACCAGGATGGAATTCTTGGCTCCTGGTTTGGGCCTAATTAAGCCCTGGCCATCGTGGCCATTTGAAGAGTAAACCTTTGGATGGAAGATCTCTCTTTGTCTCTGTCACTTTGCTTTTCAAATAAATAATTCTTAAAAAAAATATGTTAGTGATAGAAATATCCTTACCAAAAAAAAAAAGTTTCTTTCATGCCAGTATCCCTAGATATTAGAACTGTGACTCTTAAACCTCAATGGGCCCATTCCGGACATCCGCTGCATTCCTGTTTCTCTACCAAGTATTTTTCTTGATTCTCTTCCAGGGCAGTTTTAGTGGTAGCAGTGTTGTCCACAGGATGTGTTACAGATGAAATCCTTCATTGGAAAGGTTTCTATCCACCTAGTCTAGAGCTGCTTAAGTCCCGTATCTGTAGTCTCAATAAATTTCATTGTGAATTTTAAAGAGAAATCCACTTAGTTTTATTATTATTATTAAAGTAATTCTTGCACTTGGTGAAAGAATCTCGGCCACGTACAGTGCCTAATGGGCACCTCTAGGTGTCCCAGGAATGCATGGACCTGGGCATTAGGTTTGGGTGTCCTATAAGCACCAAGGGTCTCCTGGCTTATTTTCACCATTCACTTTGTGCCCCCTCTTTGTTACATTTATACCCAACTTTGTAAGCTAATACATGTGGGTGTTAACATTTCTGCAGGCAACTTTGGTGCCTGCCTCCTCGCCGCCCACCACCCTTCACTTTGCCTTTTCCCTCTCACTGTGGCCTCAGAAGTGCCTTTCCTCTCACATTGTCAAGTTAGAGCACAGCCGGTACATCACTTGGTCCAAAGATCCACTCTAAGTGCTGAAAACCAATATACAAGACCTGCAGCGCAGTGGGTCCTAATGCACAGGCAGAGAGGAGTGCAATTCTCTGAGCGCAACTCCTGACTCTCCCCGAAGCCGTGGCCTTGTGCCTCTCAAAGTCAAACTGGATAGGGCAAATTCTCGGCCTGTCAGTGAATTGCAGGTGCCTCCAGATCATGCTACTCTTCCTACTGAATTCACTGAGGCTCATCGACCGTACAAAGTCTGTTCTCAGCACTGATCCAGCCTCACTTGCCGCTTCTCCTTTCCTGACATCTGTTCAGGCAGTCACCAATGGCAGCTGAGCACACTGAATGCAGGGGACTGGGCTGGGCCTGGGCAAGGGCAGGGAGGCAGGACCCAGGGCCTTCTGCCCAGGAACTGGTATGTAGCAGGGTGAGAGGCATCTGGGAGGAGCTCCCGGGCCGTGGCCAGCTGGGGGCTGGGTCTTGCAGCAGCCTCTTAAATGGCTCATGGGGGCTGGAGAGCGGGTGTCTCTGAGTCCACTCGGCTCCTGACTTACAAGTGAGAGTTTTGGATTTTTACCGGCTTGACGATGTGGTTAACTGTTGGTCCCTTCTCGTGCTCTCCCCTCTGGCTCCACAGGACGTCAGGAGAATGAATCAGGCACCTTACAGAGCAGCTTAGTAACCGTGTCGGACTGGAGTGACTCTTCAGACGTGTAGCCCTAAATCCAGGCTCGGGAGAAGCTTCCAGAAGCCAGCAGTATTTCAGGAACATGTCTCCTTGCGTGCTGTTGCTCCTCCGTAGAGCGTTTCCCACAATAACAAGGAAGCTAACTCAAAGAACAAGGGTTTCTTTAATGGCACCTCCTACGGTATTAAAAAACCAATTGTCCACAGTATTTTGAAGCATATAATGGTGTTTAAGACTTCTGCTTAACAAAATAACATGTCATTGATGTCATAAAGAGTTTTTTTTTTCTCTTCAGAACGGTACTCAAGTGTTAAGTGTATTTTTTTTTCCAAGAGTTTTTGAGGTCGTTTTTGTTTTTGTTTTTAACTTATAGCAAGTCAGCCTGAGTTATTCCAACGTTTTAAAATATCTTATGTATTCTGTCACATTGAGAAGTGTTCATAAAAGTCTATTGGTATCCTTAAACTCGTATTAGTACATTCAGTAAAATCTTATGAGTTACTTTTTTTTCACATAGAAGTTGAAAATGTAACCATTAAAATGAGGTCTGTGTTAAATGCATTTTCCTGCAGTATCTTAATATTTAGCTTTGAGCCCACTGGAAAGCATGTTGCTGTTAAAGTTACGTTCTGCGGCTTAATCTTCATCTTGGATATTTGATAAATAAAATGTAGCTATGTTAAATTCCATTTATCAGAATATAGATGGATAAGATGGGGTCACTGCCAAATTCACATGTATTCAGAGTTTGTTCTGGCTTCTTGTAAAACATTCACCTCATATTATAAAATACCTCAAAACTCAAGTTATATTCTTGAACAAAGGCATTGTCAAAAGTCTGGAAATCCATATGAGCTGTTTTATGAATTTTTTTACACTTTCTGTACCGTCCTGTACTGTTTCAAAAAACTAACATTCTAACTACATGGTCTGTTGGGTTTGGGATCTCCTCGTTTTGTCAACCTTCCCAGTAAAGCCCTCCATGACTTCCCATGAGTGTGACTGGTTTGCTTGGAGACCATTGCTGAGTTAAATCTGTACTTGCTGGCACTGCATCTGAGAAAGCAGCACAAGATGGTCCAAGAACTCAGGAGCCTGCGTCCATGTGGGAGACCGGACCGAGTTCCAAGCTCCTGGTTTTGTAAGGTTCTCTGAGGGGTGAACCAACATAGGAAAGACCTCACTCTCCTTTTCTAACTCTGCCTTTCAAATAAAGAAATAAAATCTTTTTAAAAAAAGTTTATATCCAAGTAAGCTCACCTTTTTTTTTTTAAAGATTTATTTTTATTATGTTTTTATTGGAAAGGCGGATATATAGAGAGGAGAGACAGAGAGGAAGATCTTCCGTCCGATGATTCACTCCCCAAGTGACCACAACGGCCAATGCTATGCCCATCCGAAGCCAGGAACTTCCTCCAGGTCTCCCACGTGGGTGCAGGGTCCCAAAGCTTTGGGCTGTCCTCGACTGCTTTCCCAGGCCACAGGCAAGGAGCTGGAAGGGAAGCGGGGCTGCCGGGATTAGAACTGGCGCCCATATGGGATCCTGGGCGTGCAAGGCGAGGACCTTAACCACTTGCGCCACCGCGCCGGGCCCGAGCTCACCTTTTAATTACATTTTTCCTAATTGCATTTTCCATGAACACTTTTGTTTTTCAAGATTTATTTTCCTTGAAAATCAATTGCAGGGAGAGACAGAGAGAATCCTCCATAAACTGGTTTACTAGCGAAGTGGCTGCGATGGCCAGAGCTGTGCCAATCTGAAGCTGGGAACCAAGAGCTTCCTCCAGGTCTCCCACGTGGGTGTGTGGTTAGGACCTATAGGGCATAGGCAACCTCTGCTGCCTTCCCAGACCATTAGCAGGGGACTGGACTGGAAGTGGAATAAGAATGCTGGCACCACAGTTGGAGGCTTGGCCTATTATACCATGGTGCTGACGCCTCCATGAAGGTTTTGAAGTATCCTTGGGGTGTACTCATTTGATTTGTATGTTTCTTGAAGCTTTTCAAAATACAGATTTATCATGCGGGTAGGTAGACAAGAGATAAGCAGTCTACAAAAAGATACCAGGCTCAAGAGATGGTCCATGGGTCACTTTGTTCATTCACTGAACAAGATGTTTAATGAGCCACCTAGTTGTTTTGGATGTGTGTTAGTTCATTTCATCAGAATGCTTCTGACACAATTATTGTTTTAACCCAAAGCCTATATATGTGAGAAATATTTACAATATATAACTCTCCAAAGGCCATAAAGTTATGAAAACGACAATAATGGGCTTTAAACCAGGTCTCTGCTTCAAGGTTGTGTCTATTGTGTCTGCATCCTTGGATAGAAATGTAGGGTGCTTCTGCCAAGTAAACACTTCAAACACTGTGATTTTCCTTTTAAGCCTCTCAGGCTTCAGGAAAATCGTAGATTTACCTGGGTTGTGATTCATATGCAACAGGATTTTTAAAAAAGATTTATTTCAATTTTATTTGAAAAGCGGGGTTACAGAGAGAAAGTCTTCATCCACCAGTTACTCCTCAAATAACTACAATGGTCAGAGCTAGGTCAGTCCAAAAGTAGGAGCAAGAGACTTCTTCTGGATCTCCCATGTGTGAGTAGGGGCCCAGGCACTCGAGCTATCTTCTGTGGCTCTCACAGGCACATCAGCAGGGAGCTGGATGGGAAGTAGAATGCTTGCAACCTGAACCAGTGCGCACAGGGATCCAGCGCCACAGGCAGTAAGTAGCCTCACATGCTGCATCACAGAGCTGGCCCCTGGACAGCTTCTTAGCCACAGACAACATAGACAACAGTTCCTCTGTACTCCTTGAAGCTGTGTGTTTTATCCTATTTGGAAGTTGAATTGTGTTACTAGCACTATTGCAAATTGTTTAAGCTCTGATTTCCCCCTCGTTGAATACAGAACAACAATAGTGTGCACCAGGTTGGCTGTACTAGGTGAGTGAAATAGGGCATGGGGGTGAAATAACTGTGCATCTTTGTTTAAAATTCCTAGAGCAACTTACAGGCCTTGAAAAATGGCAAATCTCAATTGCAAGGGTAGGAGCTGCATGCTACGCAGCAAACAACCCAGCAGTTCTGAATAAGGCCGGCACTGAAGTAAGCTCTGGTACTTCCTTTACTGGCTCTGGACTTTGAGTTCATATTCCTTAACTGGGTCCTTGCTGATTCTGTGTTGGAGAAGCCTAAGCAGCTACAGAGCATGGGACTGTCACACAAAAGGCAATAAACGTCATGGTTCCATTAGCCACTGCTTCAATAATCAAAATACTGACTGGATAGATGGGCAGAAGTCAGCTTAACAAGGCCTGTGAAACCTCTTTCAGCTGCACACCTTTCGAGAAACAATATCACACTGTCTCCATAATGTTTACCATATATATGTATTTGCTTTCTGTCCTGAATGTGAATGAGAAAGAAACATAAGGGATGATTGAGACAAACACGTGCATTGTAACATGGATATAATAGAAAAGACTTCTTGAACCTTTTGAAGTTCCACATATCCCATACAAGTACAAAATATTACCAACCTTGCAAATAACCTGCTTATTTTGCATAGAAAGCTGCAACAGAAAGCAATTAGAATATAACTATGTAAAAACATTTACATCCATACAATCAACAAAGTCTTCCAATTCTTATTAAAACAAAAAACTTTCTGAGTGTTGATGATAGGAGGGTCTTGGCAGGGATCTCTTTGTGAACAGTTCACTCGCCCTTAGGACAAACTCAAGAGACAGCTTGCCAGCAGGGCTCTTTAGACATAGGCGTTTTTATCAAACTGTTTTGAAGGGTGTGTGGTTTTGAAATCTTCTCCACCATGATACTTCGTCCGAGAAGACATGGCAGACGTGGCCCCATTGTACGCGTATGCCATTCTGCAAGGCAAAACACAGTTTGTAGAATCTGTTCTACACGTAAGGCAAGCAGAAATGGAAAGAGAAATCATTTCCGCCTGTCTCCATCAACAGCTACATTTAAGTCTTGCCCTTTCTTAGCTCTCTTCCCTCTGCAAGTCCTTTCAGGAGACATCTCTGCAGAAGCACCCATCGCTTGTTCATTTGGCTTTTCTCTTCCAACCAGAGCTGTAATTAAAACCCTCCTGGAACCTGGGAGACTGAGGGCTGACTATTATTATCAGTTCCTCCTATGTGAAAATTACCATAAAGTCAAGCTGAAGAACATGGGTTCATATTTAAGCTCTCATCTGTACATACAGAAGTAGCTTTGGAATAAGGATAAAGGATAAGTTCTTTGAAGAAAATGACATTCCTAACCTTTTCCAATCCCGTGGTTTTTGGGAGTCCTAAGAATTGTATGGACTATCTACAATTGACTCCACATGTAATGATTGTCAAGACGTCATTTTTTGCCTCTTTCATACCTGGGTGTTTTGTTGTTGTCAGATATTGAGAAGCAAAATATGACACCACCAATTATGCAGAGCGAGGCTCCTGCCCATCCAATAAACAGAGCGGCTCCCAATTCATACCTGTGAGAAAGTATTACACACGTATTACAGCTTATTTGTGGTGCTGGGGATGGGGAGTGCAGGTAAATAGTATTTAACACTACGAGGCAACATTTGCTAAACGCTCATTACAAATTTTTGCAGATGGAACTTCGAAGTCACGACAGCTGTAATCTGTATAATGCCTTTAACCTCTTCTTCAAATGTTCACATGGCAATTACTTTATGGTTGCAAAGACAGCATTCATATAGGGCAGGTGAAAGCAAAATCAGCCAGTCTGAGACAGCTACGTTCCTTGAGCTCTGCCTTTATCTCAGCCGTTTTCCGTCTCTTGATTCCATTCTGCAGGGTAAACTATGTGGTCAGGCTGTAGTTATGAAATAGAAGGCAGTTTCCATGTTTGTCTCAGAACAGTTCAGCAGAGGTTTATGGAACACCAGCAATGTGCAAATGATGGTACAAGACGCCCCTAAAGGACTGAGGTTCAATAGCCCAATCATATTTGTCATCCCAATCTAGTGTGAGGAGCAATAATCGCTAGCTATCATTTACAATAGATGGCTGTCAAGTACTGAGACAGTCCCACTCCGGAGGAAGCCAGTAAACAAATGGCAGGATGGTGCTACACTCCTGAGAAGACAGCAATGGAGAGTTAGAGAAAATCTTTTTGGGAGAAGACTATTTATGCAGAAAAATAAACAATGAGAAAAATACACCACAATCTCAGGAACTGTGTGTGTTCCCACATTTGCCCATCTTTTTTTCTGAAGAATATGGGATCCCATATGAGGCAGCTCTGCTTTCCATCCAGCTCCCTGTTGCAGCCTGGGAAAGCAGGGGAAGACAGCCCAAAGCCTTGGGACCCTACACCCATGTGGGAGACCCAGATGAAGCTCCTGGCTCCTGGCTTCAAATTGGTGTACCTACGGCCATCGTAGCCGCTTGGGAAGTGAATCAAGGACAGAAGATCTTCTATGATCTTCTATGACTTTGCAATAAAAATAAATAAATATTTTAAAAAGGATATTTGGATGCCCTGAAGTAAGTTGGCATCAAATCTGTCCTTCACCATCCACACTACATAGATAACTAACAGACTGACAATCTCTAGCATATTATTGTTATTGGATGATTACAATCTTAGGATATTTTCTATTTTCCATTTCAAGGCGTTATGCTATCTTCTCTCTTAAAACTATGCCTTAGTATTTCTGTTGTAAATATGCCCCAAAGAAATGGTCTGAGATGTTTTTCTTAAAATACTGAGATTGGCTAAAACAGAATAGCAGTGCCAGGGATTGTGGATTTTTCCAAAAACAAATCTGTAATTATTAAGAGCCATCAGTTGAGTATGGAAAGTGATAGGAATTATAAGCCCCTGGTTGGCACTTTGAATCCCTGTAAAAGAGCATGATAAACATGTCCACTGTGTTGCACTAACACACAGGATGAATTACCAGGCAGGTCAGGATTTAGTTCTGTATGAGTCATGTTACAACTTTTTGAAGGAATTCAGTAATCATAGGTTTAGCTTATACATGCACTAAGAACTGGCTTGCTGATTCCATTTTATTATGTTTTGTTTTTCTTCAAGTCCCCAGAGACTCTATTCCAAGGATGATATACTTTCTACTTGAATCGTTTATGAATTTCTCTGTCCAAGTGTATTTCAGAGCTGATTTTAGAGACCCACAGTTTACTCCAATTATCATTTTTAACCAATCAGATATGAGGGGGTTTTGAGGCTAGTTCTTTCAGAGGATTTTTTTTCTTCACTCCTGTTGAGGAATTGCATTGCTGAGGTCTTCCATATTGAGTTCAAGTCACACCTGTCCTGGTGTGTGATCTTGCAAAACTGCCTTCTGCTACAGAAGGACAGGGCTGAGCGAGAGAACAATATGCACTCCAGTTTGTTCCCAAGGCCCATCGCATTCTCTGCTTGGAAATTCTCCTTTCATTTCTGGTACTGTGAAGAAGTTGATATTAACACCTCAGGAAGATTATCCAAATTTGAGATTATCTGTTGCAAGTCTTTGTGTTAGCAATGTCCATTTGACCCAAGGCCAGCTCTTCTGTTCAGAGGGTAGCTTCTGTACTACAAATGCCCAAGTTGCTTCATTATTTTGCAGGTTACATATCTACTTCACACCAGACAGACCTGTGATCATTGAGGTGAGCACAGAGCTTCAATTGTAGACCAAAACAAAAACAAAAACTATAGTTTTGGGATTGTCTCAGCTGATATGACTCATGTAAAACTGTCCCTATAACTTTTAATACATTTATATCATTGAATGCAATTTCAGTAAGATAAAAAAAATCAATGAGGAACAAATTTACTTCTATGAGAAAAGTCTAACCACTAAAGTTTTCCCCCGAGAAAGAAACTATAAAGATCTGAGGTGTTAAAAACGTGCTCTTCTCTGCTGGGTGAAGCTCGGTCATCCACCCAGCTGAGTCCTGTGACCCCGGTTGCTGTACTTCATACCTGAAGTCATATCAGCCACGTACTGTTTAGAGGAACCCTAAGGAAATGGACTGACAAATACCTTTTATTTTCACCTCCTACTTCTGGATTCATTGTACCCTAATCCCCGTTCTGACTTGATTTTCCTTTCATGGGAAGCCATTCCTCGCTTGGGATCATCTCCCCAAGATAGAACACCTAAAGGTACTATTCACCTGTTTAGGGTGGACAAGACAGACATAGTTCTGTTCTCAGGAATCTGAAAGTCTTGGTGGGGGAAAATGTTAGCCAGATGTCAAACAAATTATTAAAATGCAATAAAGCATAAAAGAAGCAGAAGAAAAGGCTTGTGCAAATAAGCATTACCACTGTTCTTCCAGGTATGCACAGATACAGGTACAGAAAATGTACACTGGGAATAACAGTGACACAGCTCACAGTGCTATTTATCCGTGCACTAAGATGTTGTACATCCAGCAGCCATATCTAATGTTGACTATAATGCTGAAAGACAGAAGTCATCTCACCATCTTATAGATAAGGAAACCTAAGCTTGGGCAAATCAAGTCTACAGAAATGGTGGAACCTGTAACGGTGATTGTAAACTTCAAGCTCTTGATTCTTACTCCAGCTTCCTTTTATGTACGTCTTAGCTGAGAAGAATATTTTATAATCTAGTATAATAAGCAGCCTATCAAAGCAACATAACTTCCAGCTGTCACTTCAGGCAGTTTTCACCTACTGGCTCATTAAGCTCTCAGTGGCTGAACAGCTCCAGGGCATGGAATTTTTTTCTGAATACCCTTGGGCTGTCTTTTCACCCAACACATAAAGAGGTGAGGGTAGTCATGAGAGCAAGAGCCGCTGGAGCCAAAAGGGACCAGGGCAGTCCCTCCAAACCCAAATGTGAGAGCCCTTCACCTTGTTAAGATGTCCAGAGGAGTGAAAGGACCTTGCTGAATTCACAGAGCCAGGAACTGTGTCTTACCCCATCCAGCACAATATGGTTATCTTTATTATCATTCAAACATATTGTCTTCATCCCCAATTTAATCAAAAGTGAAAACAGCCAAATTAAATTTTCTAGGTACCTTAAAATAACCAAACATGTTTTCAAAAAAAAAAAAAGTTGAAAATCCAGGAAGTGCACTGGTGTGTTATAAGTGTTACTGTATCACTAAGCTATCTCTTTAAACAATGCTAACACTGGGTGGGTGTCTGGCCTGTAATACGCCCCAATCCTATTTAAGAGTACTAGGTTTGATAATAGGCTTGGGCTCCTGACTCCAGCTTCCTGCTAGTGTAGACCCTAAGAAGCATGGGAATGCAAAAGTCACCTATAGTATGATAAATATCATGTTGATATATTCAAAGGAACACCTTGGGGTCGACATTGTGGTGCTGTAGGGAAAGCCGCCACCTGCAACACCAGCATTTCACGTGGGCACTGGTTCATGTCCCGGCTGCTCCACTTCTGATCCACATCCCTGATGATGGCCTGGGAAACCAATGGAGGAGGCCTCAAGTGCTTCGGCCCCTTCCACTCACACAGGAAACCCGGATACACCTTTGGCTCCTGGCTGCTGGCTTCAGCCTGCCTTAGGCCTGGCCTTTGCAACCATCTTGGGGAGTGAGGCAGCAGATGGAATACATATCTGTCTTTTTTCTCTCTAGAATTTTCAAATAAATCTTTAAAAATTTATTTGTTTTTAAAAAAGGAACCTGTCACAATCCTAAAGTTAACACATTCATTTTAGAAAAGATGGTTGCTAAGCAATGACTATGGCATTGAACTTCTCTGTTGGAATGGATCACGGTTTTTCTGACCTTGTTCCTCACTCCCAGTAGGTGCAATAACATGTTCACTTCAAACTTTGAAGTCTGAACAAACTGAGGGAAATTCCTGTAACAGAAAACACTTTGCCTTAGGGTACAGCCCGCCTGACGAAGTCTACATCAAGAATATGTGTGTGGGAACATGGCACGTACTGCTTTCGACAGTGAGATAAAAACATACAGATCTTACATTTTATCCCAAATCCTCAATAGCCAATATAAAAACATTTTAGGATAGGGCCAGAGAAAACCTATACAGGCGAGGTCCTCCTAAGCCAAGGCTCAAGCATATCTATCTAGTGGACTTTCCAGTTGTTACTTATCCTTAACTCAATGCTAAGAACATCAGTGGCCATATGGGACACATGTTACCTTTTCTCTACTTTTTTCTTCTACTACGTCTCTGATATTTCAACATCAATTTCCCTATGGTCAAACACGACAGATCATATAAGCAAATACCATGTTATTTTAATATTTCCTGAGCAAGAGTTAATACCCTTAAAATCATAGCTAATGTTTGAGTGTTTGTACCAGGAACAGTTCTAAACAGCTCAACTGCACTGTTTCATTTAATCCATCCCACAAGCTCCTCAGTTCTTGTTATCCTCATCTGTAAGATGAAGGGCACATGGTGCAGGAAAAAAAATCAACGACTTTTTCAAGGTTACATAGTTGATAAAATAGCAGCCGGGCTTTGCTCTTGAACCCCTGCCT